TTGTGCAATGCCCGCAGAGGTCAGAAGAGGCTGTCGGATACCCTGGGACTGGAGTTATGGACAGTTGTTAGTTGTCATGTGGGTGCTGGGATTCAAACCTGGGTCTTCTGCAAGAACAGTCAGTGTTCGTAACCATTGAGCCATCTCTCCAGCCCCTGTTCTTTGATTTTTTTAAAAATGCATTTAAAGTATGTCTATGTTCATGCACATGCATGCACACGTGTGTGCAGGCACATAAGCATAAATGTCACGGGACTTGTGTGGATATCAAAGGACAACTTGCGGGAGTCAGTGCTCTCCTTCTACCACATGGGTCCCAAGTGCTGAACTCAGGTCATCATCAAGTAGCAAACGCTTTTACCCACTGAGCCATTTTGCCTTGTTCCTTGAGTTTTTTTCTTCAAACTAGAAAAGACTACAGATTTTCTTTTTTTTCTTTTAGTATTTTATTAATTTTATGTGTATGACTATATTGCCTGTATATATGTCAATGCACCTGTGTCCATGCAATGCCCATGGAGGTAAGAAGAGGGCATCAAATCCCCTGGAACTGGAGTTACAGACAGTTCTTAACAGTCATGTGGGTGCTAGGAACCCAGGACCTCAGAAAGAGCAGCCAATGCTCTTTAACCACTGACCTAGATCTCTAGCCTTGACTGTAGATTTTCTATATGTCACATTTTTGTCCCATTCCCTTCTTCTAAGTATCAATTTTGCTCTAGAATCTATCTCTTTGTGCCAAATCTGACCCTTTCCACAAAACAGTCCTTTGTCCACAGTTTAACAATCAAGTTCCTATGTTATTACTAGAAAGCAAACAAAAGTTTTTCCTAACCTTTCCCTTTTGCTCACAGTGCTCGGATATATGATTTAAAAGGCTTTGCCTAGATCATCATCAGGCAAGAACCAGGGCTGCACCTGCTTCCAACATGGTTTCGTGCACCTGTGTCTGGTACCTCAACACTCCATGACCTCTCCTCTTTGCATCTCATCTTCCAGGGTTTCTCCACATGGCCTCACCAAGACACAACAGGTTAACCTCAGGGATCAGCACTTCCTCCACAGTGACCAGCTTCTAAGAAGACCAATGAAGAACTATACCAAAAATGGTACAGGCTCATTCCCATCACAATATTTTTTATTTTTTATTTTTTTTGGTCTTTTTGAGACAGGGTCTCCCTGTAGCCCCAGCTGGCCTGGAACTCACTGTGTAGACCAGGCTGGCCTCGACCTCATAGAGATCTGTCTGCCTCTGCCTCTGGAGTGCTGGGATTAAAGGCATGTGCCACCATGCCCGGCTCTATTCCCATCACATTTTATTTTTATTGTTCAAAGCAGACAGATTCAAGGAGGTAGAGAAATAGACACCTAGATGGGGGTATGGTAAAATGATATTCAGCAATATATGTAAAGTAAAATGAATTTTTACAGGTGCCTTAGAAAGTATAATCTGCCACATCAAATATTTAAATAAGCACAACCCAAAATAAAACTCCAGTAAGACAAAGTAACAACAGTTCAGTGCGAAGCATGTGATCCAAACCTCCATGCAACTCTGTTATCTAGCTTATATCATCAACGGCTCACTACTCACTACTCATCACAAGAGAGCTGTTCAGGCAGCTTCCTGAGTTTTTGGAAAATTAAACACACCCATTCAGAACATCTTCAAGAAAAAGACTTAGGGTAAGACAGACAGAGTAAGGATTTTTCTTACAGTAATAACTAGTGTTTTGTTTTGTTGAGATGGGGTCTCGCTATGTAGCCTGGGCTAGCCTTAAAGTGGTGATCCTCCTGCTTATGCCTCCATAGAGCAGACAGTGTATCACCATGTCCAGCTTAATGTTTCTGAACTGTCTTAGGAATAGCAATTTTTAAAAATTGTTTGATTTGGGATTTTTTTGTTTGGTTGATTTTTTTTTTACGAGATAGGGTCTCTCTGTACAGCCCTGGAGGCCTGGAACTAGGTATACAGACCACACTGGCCTTGAAATCACAGAGACTGGCCTACCACAACTGGCTTGGTTTTGTTGTTTTTTACTATTATCTACATCTTAACACGGTGCTTAAATAAGTAGACCAGACAAATATAGTGAAAATATTGACGAATTCTAAGAAAAGAGAATGGTTCAAACATGTTCAAGAAAAAGCCAATGCAAAACTACAAAAAGAGAGAACCTAAAGCAAACAAATATGACATATTGGGTAGTGAGATTGCTCTCACTATAGATAAAAAGCACTTGTTGCACAAGCCTGACAACCTAATTTCCATGCCTGGAATGAATAGTGGACAAAGAGAACCAGTCCCACATGCTACAGCCAGCACGTGCCTATATCCTATAAGCCCCACCCCTACCCACACACAAAAATAGTAAATTTTAAAAAGGGGCAAGAGAGATGGCTCAGTGGTTAAGAGCGCTGGCTGCTCTTGCAGAAGACCAGGGTTTGGTTCCCAGCACCCACATGATGGCTAACAACCATCTGTACTCCAATTCCAGGGGATCCAACACCCTCTTCTGGCCTTTGTGGGCACTGCATGCATATGGTGCACCTATATTCAAGTAGGAAAAATACTCATACACGGAAAATAAAAATAAAGAACGAAAACATTTTTAAATAAGTAAAAAAAAAATGACAGTTTATTTGTAAAAAATAAAAAAAAGATGTAATATTTTGTTACATACTAATACATAGATATCCTTTTACAACTTCTAAGCACCCACATAAGATTTCACTCCAAAGAAAGTGAATAGATGCTAAATTCTAAATGGTGCATTGTAAACAAAGTCATATTATAAGTACTGACTAAGACGTGCTCTTACTTTGTCTTGGTTTTCTTTGTTCTTGTAACACAGATTTCCAATCAGACGAATGAGATGAGATTTAAACCCCTCAGTCATATGTGAGACGTCACCATCTGCTTTTAGGCACCCAGAGGGACTGAAGATGTTTGTAGTGTCTTTTCCAATCACATGAATCACTCGCAAAACATCTAGAGCAAAAGAGCAGACTTCGTTTTCCATAAGAAAATAGCATGGTATCTGTTATAAGTGTCTATAAACATATCCAATTTACTGAAATAGGAAACTATGTAAAGCTTTCTTTCAATAGTGATTGAAGCACAGGGTGCAGCTCAGGAGTACTTGCCTTGAATGCACAGGTCTGCAATTCAATTCTCAATAACACCAGAAAGACAACAGTAATAATAATAGCTACATAGCTCTTTTGCTTTCTATTTTTTAAACCCCAATTTGGGGGGGTACAGACCATAATGATTACCCTCACTTGAACTATCTATCTACCCACAAAAAAGTTAACTAAAATTTTCCAACGTTTTCTTACAAAATGCTTTCAATTCCAATTTCTTTATGCAAGAACTAATCAGATAGCTAGTCAGTTAAGTGTCAATCACAATGGGTTTTTATAACCAAGAAAGCTTTAATTTTCTCATTGGCCAAATAATCAGAGACAGCCATGGATCAACATTAACTACAATCATAAGAAATAATGTTATTGTGCTGGACAGCTTTAGTTATCAACTTGACACACCTGAGAAGAGGGAACCTCAACTAAGGAATTTCCTCCACTGAACTGGCCTGTGGGCATGTCTAGAAGACATTTTCTTGATTGCTGGTTGATATGGGAGGGAGGCCCTGACCACGTGCCATCCCTGGGCAAGTAGTCCTGGGTCGTGTAGCAAGCAGGCTGAACACAGGCCAGAGGAGAAAGACAGTAAGCAGTGTTCCTCCATGGTCTCTACTTCAGCTCCTGACCCCATGTTCCTTCCTCCCTCCAGGTTCCTGCCTTGGATTCCTTCAATGATGGGCAATGGTTGGGAGATAAGTAGGCCAAGTAAACCCTTTCCTTCCCCAGTTGGTTTGAGTCAGTGTTTTACCATAATAGTACAGGTTAACTAAGTCAGTTATAGTCTATGAATACCTCCAGGTAGCCTATGAAAACAGACAATAAGTTACATGTTTCCATATTATTTTTATATAATATGGAACCTCTGAGCAAACCTATTAAATGCAGACATCATATTCCCAATTTTATATGAAGAAATCAGTTTCAGAAGTTAGTAACTTGGCAGAGCTGGAATACAACCCACATCTGCCCCTGCCTCATAACGATTTCCCAATGTGGGGATAACATTTTGACTATCATGAAAAGTACTGCACTCAAAACAGAACTCTGAGATGGATCCTAAGTGCCTTCTAGAGACCACAGCTAGCTCGACATACTTGTAGATACACAGTCGCCTTTCTTAGTGCACTGACGTCCAGAAATGTATAATCTTTTTTAAAGGAAAAAATACTAAAGAGTGACAAACAAAAGCTAAGGCAAGGAAGGCTCTGCTGGCATCATTTTACAGACAGCTTTCTAGTAAAGATAGTAATGCTTCAAATAACAGTTTTCTGATTAATAAGGACTCTTGCAAGGTTAGAATGTACAATGTGAGTAAAACACTATCCTTTGCACTCAGAAGTATTAACTGGGAAAACTTTACTAGCAAACTTTACAACAACGCTATAGTAATCTTTTGATCACCGCATCGTCAGCGTCATCAAAAGTGCTCTTGGTGAGACATCCACTGCACACATTTCCAAACAAGTCTGATTAAGTCACAACACTGACTCCACAGAAGGGCAGAATAATAGTGTGCTCTGAAGTCAGGTGTGGTGGTGAACGCCCCTAATCCCAGCACTTCAGAAGCAAAGACAGGCAGATCTCTGTAAGATGGAAGCCAGCTTAGTCTACATAGTAATTTCCAGGCCAGCTGGGGCTACTGAGGCTCAAAAAGACCCCCCACAAAAAAAAATAATAATAATAGTAATAATAATATGGCCTCAGCTTGAGCAGCCTGAGCTGTTACCATAACACCATAATTCCATTCAAGAAAAAAATTAGAAGAATCTCAGGTAAAAACACTGAAACTTAAGCATTTGTGTTTGGATTAAAGAGTATGTCAATAATATCGTAACTGAAAATGTCGTATGTGCTATGTCACTCACCAATGACTCGTTCCAGCAGGCCAGGAAAAACCTGCAGGTAGCCAAGCAGCTCAGTGTTGGCTGTCATCTCACACAGGACGTCCAGAAGCCGAATTGTGGCCAATGCTTCCTGGAAAAGACAAGGAAACCTCCTTGCTAAGAATCAGGGTTTAAGTGAGCTGGCTGCTAAGTAGCTATGAGAGAATGAAACAGTGTAACACATATTAAGTCAGTGCTTATGACACAGCTTCCGAGAAACAAAAGTAGACAGAACAAAACAGAAGTATTTAAAATGTTCTTGAATAATAATTTTCACTAACTGTAGACATCTGCCATCAAGAAAGCAAGATTATGCATTATTATTATGTCTAGAGCAGAGTCAGAAAAGGTCTTTTTCAAACAAACAAAAAAAAAACCCAACAGCAAGATAAATATTCAAAATTACAAGCTACATGTATCATTGATGCAAATACTTTCTTTTTAAAATATTCTCGGTATGCAAGTTTCACTTTAAAGATTCAAATATTTCATGAAATATATTAATTTCTTGTCCACAAGAATCTTATAAAGTCCTGTGGTTAAAAAACACTAGCTTTGGGACTGGAGAGATGGCTCAGAGGTTAAGAACACAGACTGTTCTTGCAGAAGACCCGGGTTCGAATCCCAGCACCCACATGGCAGCTAACAACTGTCCATAACTCCAGTCCCAGGGGATCCGACAGCCTCTTCTGACCTCTGCGGGTGCACTTACCTACATGCAGGCAATACATACATTCACATAAAATAAAAATAAAGAAAAATTAAAGAAAAAAAAAACACTAGCTTTAAGAACTTGCATTATTTCTGAGTAAATATAAAACTATATGTAGCATCTTGTAGGCTGAAAAAGATAGTATTATTTGAAAATTTTAGTTCACTCAGCAACTAATAATTTACATGAAACAGGCAGCCCAGTCAAGAAACTACCAAGTACCAACTGTATACTATTTTATTATTCAAAATATACTTCAAAGATATAATTTTTTGCAGATTTTAAACCACGCTTTTCAAGTATATATTATTTGACAAAATATAGTAGGGCCTATAAATTTAGATCAGAGAGATAACATTCTTCAAAATAAAGATATACTGCTTTTTATGATAATGCTAATGCTGTTCCTTAGAAAATTTTAAGATAATACTTGAATATAGCATTCTAAAAGTTTTAAAATAACAAGAAATAACAAATCTGATTGTCTTGGATTTTTAAAATTTTATTTCACAGCTTTTGCTTCCTAATTATGGAATTGGGTGGGAATTAATTACATAGATTGAAACATGAAGTTAGTACTGTGGGCAAACCCATTAACTAACATGAAGTTAGTACCGTGGGCAAACCCACTAACTAACATGAAGTTAGTAATGGGCAAACCCATTAACTAACATGAAGTTAGTACCGTGGGCAAACCCACTAACTAACATGAAGTTAGTAATGGGCAAACCCATTAACTCAGAAGCACCTTGGCGTTCTCTTCAGTTCAGAGGGTGACTGCCCAGACTGTCATCTCTAGAAAACATGTGTGCTGAAGAACTGGCATGCTAACTAGGCACAGGGAAGAGCATGCACAATAGGATGGTGAATATCTATTCCAAAAGACTGTGAGGGCCATGTAGAAGGAATGAGAAACCATTTGAACAAGTGTGCATTGGCCAGCAATGGTACATCGGGACATTCAGAGGAATTACAACTCCAACACATCAAGTACTTTTAAAGCTAAGACCAAAATGACAAGTAAAGGTGCTCCTTGGTCACCTTCAGACGATGGCAAAGGGCAAACTGTTACTCTGACTATTGTTAACTAAGGTAAAACTCAGTTATCCTGCCTTTCTCAATAAAAATGCACCTTGCATAACCTAACAGCTGACGAGGGGGGAAGTTTCTCCTTATGAAGTATTCCTGATAATAAATGAAAAGTGACTGTTTGAGCCAAAGCACTACCACTTTACAGCAGAGTGCTCACCTCTAATCCTAGCACTTGGGAGATGAGGCAGGGGGATCAAGGGTTGAAAACCAAGCCTAGGCAATACTGCAGGACTATGTCTCCACAATCAAAAATACACACATAAAATCAAGCCACCACTTTGCAACCCTCAATAATTAACATATCTAAGGAAATGTTAAAGACCACAACAGCACAGAGAGAAAGACAGCTAAGCAGTATGTGCTCCTTGAAGAAAGCACCCTCATCAACAAGCATTACTGCAAAACAAAAACTAAAACCCAACCTGAAGCTAAACATGCCTCTGCCAGGCAAAAACAATATATGCTAGCTGCCACCAAGGAGACATGCTCACCAAAATCCCCAGTGGAAAATGACACAGGAAAAACCACCCACTTTCTTCAACTGGTAAAGAAGACCAAAAAAATAAAATAAAAACAGGAAAAAGAAAAAGGAAGCCTAAATAGTAAAGGACAGTGAAAATTCTCAGTTAATTATAAAGAATGCCCTTATTCATATCCTGATTCATCAAAATAAACTTGAAAAACATTAGACAATGGGAAATAACTTCATGCTGTTTGCCACCAAATTGTATTATTAATTTGTCATGTGTGGTAACTGCATTGTACTTGTGTCTAAGACTTGTGACAGGTGAAATATGTTGTTTCAGTCCAGGACAATGGCAGAAGAATGGTGGGCTGTCTATGACACAGCAACAGCAAGTTTCAGTGTACTTTCTTCTCAGTCAATGTGAGATTTTCCATGAGATAAAGGCAAAAATAAAACGGGGGGGGGGTGCACAGGCGGTACAAGGGATTATCAAAAAGCTCCTTTGCAGCTCCTAGAGTCTATGATATTAGTTGAAAAGGAAATTAATCTAATCCCACCTAACATATTCCCAAATTTAGTCTTTCTTTTATTAACAAAGTCAACACTGTCCTGGTATATCTCTTAAAATTACTCTACATAGTGAGTTCCAGGACAGCTGGGGCTACAGGGAGACCCTGTCTCAAAAAGACCAAAAAAAAAAAATAAAAGAAAGTAAAATAAAAAATTACTCTCTTATGGGCTGGAGAGAGGGCTCAGCAGACAAAAGTGCTCACTGCTCTTGCAGAGAACCCAAGTTCAGTTCCTAGCACCCACATGGGCAGCACACAAATACTTGTGACTCCAGCTCCAGAGGGATCCTAAACATCTAGCCTCCACAGGTATCTGGACTTACCCACACACATATATACACAATTAAAAAGAAAAGAAAATTTTAATTACTCTCTTAAAAACTAAGAGTAGGGACTTGAGAGAGGGCACAGCAGTTAAGAGCACTTACTGCTCTTCCAGAAGACCCGGGTTCAGTTCCCAGCACCCACACAGTAGCGATCACCTATCGAAACTCCAGTTCCAAGGGAGCCATGCCTTCTTCTGGTCTCTATGAGTACCAGGTACACAAATGGTACTCTTACATACATGTAAGAAAAACACTTATACACATAAAATTAAATAAAATCTTCCTTAAAAAAAATTCAGAGTAATGATGGGGTTGTAAAGATAAGTCATTCAATAAAATGCTTACCACAAAAGCTTCAGAAACTGAGTTTTGTCTCCAGAACTTATAAAAAGGCCAGCTGTGGTGGCATGTATTCCCGGCATTAGGAGGCAGAACAGACAAATCCCTGGGAGTGCCCTGATATGCAACACTCACTGATTTTCATGTGGAAATTTTTTCATAATAGGCAATTCTGAGCCACCAACCACGTAGCAGCCAGCCCACACATTTCTAGATATGAATAACGGACTCTCGGAAGTTGGCATTAGCCAGTAAGCACATGAGTTGGGAGCACGGTATACTGGAATACTGACAAGGTGTTCTTTAAGCCTGCCATAGTGTTTTCCCCCATTTCTTTCTTAAAGTATAATATTACATTAGTATAAGATCTGTACGTTAGTATATTTCTTCCTACCTTACCGAACAACTAAAGGAAAAGCATGAATTTTCCTATATAAAAAGGAGGCTGGGCCGGGTGTGGTGGCACATGCCTTTAGTCCCAGCACTCGGGAGGCAGAGGCAGGCGGATCTCTGTGAGTTCAAGGCCAGCCTGGTCTACATAGTGAGTTCTAGGCCAGCTGGTGCTACAGGGAGACCCTGTCTAAAACGAGGCTGGAGATGTGGACTTAGTGTGTCAAAGTGCTTACTCTGCAAGCAGAAGGACCTGAGTTTTAATCTCTAGCACCCATGTAAGAAACTGTATGTGAAAGCTACCAAAGCACTAGGGGCAGACAGCACACTAGCAGCTCCTGCAAGGACTTGGATTCGGTTCCAGAGTCCATATGACAGCTGTAACTCAGGTGACACCCTCTTCTGGCAATGCATGTATGTGGTGCACTTACACACATGCAGGCAAAACACTTACACACATAAAAAATAAATTCATCAAAAGATTTTGTAAAAAGGCCCTGTCTCAAGGCGGAGAGTGATAGAGTAAGATTCCCGCTGGCCTGTTCTGGCTTCCACATACATGCCAATGGCAACACCACCACCCACCCACACCCCCCTCAACACACAAAATTATAGCAAGTAATGTTGTGCTATAATCCTAAAATCACTTTAAAAGTCTCTTATGAAATGTTTAAAGCAATCATTTAACAAACTTCATTTTCTACTGTTTCCTAGAAATTTCCAAAGCACAGCTCACTGATCCACCTGCTGGAAATAAAAGCAACTCTAGCTCCATGCCAACCATCTAAAAATTCCCAGGACCACTTAACACTCCCCAGCACACATGAAGCTCACAATCTATTCTCTGGCTCTCCCGGAATGTCCACTCTGGAGTCCAGTCGCTCCTGCCTTGTCTCAAGCTACTGCCAACAGTGTTCTAGCATCAACCACTCCCTTCTTGATCACTCTTGTCAGGGTATAAATATCTACAGTCTTTTCTAAAAATGCATTTAAGGGGTTGGAAAGATGGCTCCGTACTAAGAGCATTGGCTGTTCTTGCAGAGAACCTTAGTTTTGTTCCCAGCATCCACATGGCAGTCAACAACCATTCATATTTCCAGTTCCAGGGTATCCAACTCCCTCTTCTGGTTTCCATGGGCTTTACATGACACAGGTGCACTTACATACATGCAGGCAGGACATGCAAAATCATAAAAAGTAATTGTAATGAATTTTTTTTTTTTTTTTGGTCTTTTTGAGACAGAGTCTCCATGTAGCCCCAGCTGTCCTTGAACTTATTATGTAGACCAGGCTGGCCTTGAACTCACAGAGATCTGCCTGCCTCTGCCTCCCAAGCGCTAGGATTAAAGGCGTGCGCCAACCACGCCTGGCAGTAATGAAATTTTAAAAACACCTTTTAAGCCAGGAGTGGTGGCCCATGCCTGTGGTCCCAGCACTTGGGAGGCAGAGGCAGGCAGATCTCTGTGAGTTCAAGGCCAGCCTGGTCTACATAATGAGTTCCAGGATAGCAGGGGCTACAGGGAGACCCTGTCTCAAAAAGACCGGAAAAAAATAAATAAATAAAAAATAAAAATGTACTTAAAATCAACTCCATTCAGGTATAATTTGTATGCACTAAAACACACCCGGTAAGAGCACAAAATAGTGTGCCAAAGTATGCGTCTCATGTACAACATTTCTTTTTATTTTTTTTATTTATTATTTTTATTTTATGTATATGTGTGTATTGCCTGCATGTAGGTAACTGCACCCATGCTGTGTAATGCCCATAGAGGACAGAAGAGGCCATCGGATCCCCAGCAACTGGAGTTACGGACAGTTGTTAGCTGCCATGTGGGTGCTGGGATTCGAACCCAGTCTTCTGCAAGAACAGTCAGTGTTCTTAACCGCTGAGCCATCTCTCCAGCCCCCATGTACAACATTTCTATCACCCAGAAAGTTCTCTTATGTGCCCCCTGAAATTAATCTCCTCTGTGACTTCAGCCCCAGACAACATGTGATATGCTCCCTGTCATTACCAAGAAATCTAATCCTGGTACTAAATCTCACAGCAGTGGAGCCTTGACCTAGCTCTAGTCAGTCCATCTGCCTTCACATGGTACCTTTGGAGTCGTCTTTGCTGCTGTTCCAGAGATGTTTTATTTTGCTGATGAGTTTCCAAGAGAGAGAACAATTCTGACTTTAACTCAGAAGGTGGGCTAGTTTTCGTCATGAAAACCTAGACAAACCTAGGAAGCAGAAATGTTAACTGAGGAACTGCTTCTATCAAACTGACCTGTGCCCATGTCTGCGGGGCATTTTCTTAATTGCTAAATGCAGAATGTTCCACACTTCCTTTGGCCAACTCCCTGAATTAGACATGCAGCTTGTTCTGTCCATCATAGGTGGTGCTGTAGTATGTGTTCATAGCTGTGTCTTCACAGATTTCCACAGTCACTGTCTTAGTTTTGTTTCTAGTTACTGTGCCTGACAAAAGTAACTTAGGAGAGAAAGGTTTATTTCAGGTCACAGTTCCAGGTTACAGTCAGAGTGGCAGACACTTAAAGGAGCTGATCACAATTAGGAACAGGCAACAAGAATGTTTGCATGTATGTGCTTAGCCTCATTTCTCCACTCTTAGAAGTTCAGGTTCTCTGCTCCAGGATTGGTCCTGCCAGCAATTAAAAGGGATGTTCTTCCATCAATTAATTTAATTTAAATAGTCCCCCACAGACATGGCCACAGGCCAACTTGATCAAGACAAGCCTTCATTAACTCTCTTCCCAGGTGATTCTAGGTTGTATCAAGTTAACATTAAAGCTAACCAGTACAGTCTCTATCCTAGGATGTCATCTTAGGAGTGAAATTGCTGGGTGTAAAGGACTTTTAAAGCTTTAGTACACATTTCTGAGTTGTCTTTTAGAAAGGATAGGAGTCCCCAACCCTACCCCTTCTGGTTAGCTACCTTAGATTCTCCTCTGGGTTACCCTACATTGTTCAGAGTAGCGAGTTGGCAGTAATTCTGTTCCTATCTCCTCACTTGAAAACTTCTGTTTGCACGTATTCCTCTTCCCCCTCCCGCCTCTTCTGCCTTTATTTTGTTGCTGTGATAAAATACTCTGACCAAAGCCAACTTGAGGGAGGAAAGGGTATATTTGACTTGCGGGTCACAGTCCATCATTGAGAGAAGTCAAGGCAGGAACTGAAGCAGAGACAGCTAAGGAGCACTGCTTATTGGCTTGTTTCTCTGGCTTGTTTAACTACCTTTCATATATATATATATATTTAAATTTTATGTGTATGAATGTATTGCCTGCATGTATGTGAGTGCACCTATATTGTGCAGTGCTGCGGAGGTCAGAAGAGGGTGACGGAGTCCCCTGGAACTGGAGTCAAGGACGGTTTGTAGCCGCCATGTGGGTTCTGGGAATCGAACCTGGGTCCTCTGCAAGAGCAGTCAGTGCTCTTAACCGCTGAGCCATCTCTCCAGCCCGTGGCTACCTTTCTTATGTGGTCTAGAATCACCTGGGAAGAGAGTTAATGAAGGCTTGTCTTGATCAAGTTGGCCTGTGGCCATGTCTGTGGGGGACTATTTAAATTAAATTAATTGATGGAAGAACATCCCTTTTAATTGCTGGCAGGACCAATCCTGGAGCAGAGAACCTGAACTTCTAAGAGTGGAGAAATGAGGCTAAGCACATACATGCAAACATTCTTGTTGCCTGTTCCTAATTGTGATCAGCTCCTTTAAGTGTCTGCCACTCTGACTGTAACCTGGAACTGTGACCTGAAATAAACCTTTCTCTCCTAAGTTACTTTTGTCAGGCACAGTAACTAGAAACAAAACTAAGACAGTGACTGTGGAAATCTGTGAAGACACAGCTATGAACACATACTACAGCACCACCTATGATGGACAGAACAAGCTGCATGTCTAATTCAGGGAGTTGGCCAAAGGAAGTGTGGAACATTCTGCACTTGAATGCTGTACTGGCATTTTTTTAAAACGCATTTACAACATCACATCCATTACTCATTCGGAGGGTATTTCTGAATGCCTACTATGTGTACAGTGCTATGATCATGGCCCAACTTCTGCTCTCATGATACCTACATTCAGAAAAACAATGAAACCAACAAGTAGATGGATGGCACATAGTACCTCTACTCTGACACAGCGGTGTCCGTATCTTTCTGTATATATGTCTAAACATACTAACCAGAATTCTTTCTCAAGCCATTAATAGGGAATGGAAGAAACAAGGGCACTGTTTCCACTTCTCTATAATTTCTAAGTTCTCTAATATATAGAGTATCTTAAAACCTTTTAAGAGAGATGGCTCAGTGATTAAGAGCACTTCCTACTCTTCCAAAGGTTCCTAGCACCCACATCAGCTGGCCCACAACTGCCTATAACAGATCCAGGGGATCTGACAGCCTCTTCTGACCTCCATGGACACTGCCACACATGTAGGATACATTCATACAACATACACACACACACACACACACACACACACACACATACAGTCACACACACACACATACACACACACACACACACACACACACACACTTATCTATAAAGGTAGAAATAACGCCAGGTGTAGTAGTACGCACTTTTAATCCCAGTTCTCGGGAAACAGAGGCAGGCAGATCTCTGTGAGATCAAGGTCAGCCTGGTCTACATAGTGAGTTTCAGGTGGGCTGGGACTAGGGAGACCATGTGTCCCATCCAAGTACTAACCAGGCCCAATCCTGCTTAGCTTCTGAGAACAGGCGGTATCAGGGTGGTATGGCTGTAGCAGGGAGGCCATGCCAAAAACAAAGTAGGGGAGGGTAAAATCTTTTAACATTTTGAGAAAGAAACCCACAGAGGATTTGAACGAGAAAACCTGCCCGTTCTCCCTCCTCTAGGTCTATGAGATCTGTCTCCTTACCTGATCCTCGGTGTGAGGCTCTGAGATCAACTTTAGCACATTCCTACACTGATCCACAAAAGAGCTTGCGATCAACTCGGCATGGCGCAGAAGTATTGCGATGTCATCCTTTGACAGTTGCTCATCACCCACGATCTTGGCTATCATAATGTCTAACAACGTGACCCTGTAAAACAAGAGTCCTGCGTGAGTAGATGATGCTCAGTGCAGCACTAGGAATAACATGGGGAAATTTTTAAGGGAATATTTTTATTTAAATTTTTTACCTTATTTTAATGTCTAGCTAAGAAGAACATTCTAAGGATAATCATCAATTACCTGTATTTAATTTCTTGGTTTTTATAATGTGATTTTTCTGCAGCAAGAACTATCTAATACATTTTTAATATCCATTGTTTTGTAACACTGGAATAATTCAACATTTCAAAAAGGATTATCAATTTAAGTTTTATGAATACGTTCTAATAGAACAGCAAAGATAAGTGGGCAAACATTTATCCACTACTTAAACCGAAGATGAGCATTTTACATACATTATCTTATTTAATATTCACAAACCTCCACAGGGCAGGTAATATTATTAATTTTATATTAAAGATGTCTACCTAGACTTGGTGAGACATATCTGTAATCTCAACACTTGAGAGGTAAAAGCAGGAGGATCAAAGAGTTTAAGGCCAGGCTGGACTACAAGAGACCCAAAAAACAAAACAGAAAGACCCACAAAGATATGCAGACCTTAATGCACATCTAGTGTATACCTGGTGTCACACAGCTACTGAGAAGTGAAGCCAGGACTTAAGCTAACTAACTACTTCCAGTGAGAAATATAGTTACTGAAAATGCTTTCTACCTTGTATCCAAATGATGGGAAAGAATATCGGTCTAGAAAAAACAGACTTTAACAACTTTCCAAACTCCTGCTAGGCGTGGTAGGCCATGCCAGAGACTAAGACAGGCAGATCTGAGCTCAAGGCCAGCCTGGTCTACAGACTGAGTTCTAGGCCAGCTAGAGCTACATAATAAGAACCTGTCTCAAAAACCAAAACGAAACAAAAAAGACCTTTTATAGCAATTATTAATGCAAACTAAACAAGAAAACAATCCCTTTCCTTGAGCATAGTACTAGAGCATTTTTTGCTTCTGCATAAACATACATCATCTTCAAAATGTAAATGGGGTAGGTGGGGTATGATAGTTAGTACTATAAAGTTGGCAGAACCTGGAATTATACAGAAGACAAGCCTTTAGCACACCCGTGATGGACTACTTATCTTCTGGGCACACCTGGGAGAAATTATGTTCATTAGGTTAAATGACAAGGAGAGACCCACACTAAAAGTGAACTGTATAAAACAGGACAAAGCTAGCTAAGCACAAGCGTTCATTGCTCCCTGCTTCCTGACTGTGGATGCATATGATCAGCTGATACAAGCTCCTGCCTTGACCTTCCTGCCATGATGGACTGCATCCTTGAACTGCGAACTGAAGTAAATAAACACTTTCCCCCCTAAGCTGCTTTTGTCAGGCTGTTTTACCACAGCAACAGGAAAAGAAACTAAGGCACTGGGGATGCTACCTCAGTAGTAGAAAGCTTGCATAGCATGTGCAAGGCCCTGGATTCTAGCCCCAATACTGCCAAAAGAAGAAATTATAATGCAGTGTTTTCAGACCATAATGCTGGGCTTCCCACTCTCACCAAAGCAGGATGACTGTCCAGCAATGTGAGATAAGGGGCCACCCACTCAGTGTGGCCCAACTATCTCCTCTGAAAACATTCCTATTTATCGTTGGATGAGGTCATATGGGAGTCCTTGCTAGGATATAGAATCATGATCCCTGGCTGGGAAATTCACACATAGCTGGCAGTTACTCAAGTAGGCAATATAATTTTATCAGATTAAATCACAGGCATCTACAGATATAATGCAGAAAGATGAGAAACAAAGTGAGCAATTGTAACTGGAGAAGAGAACTGAGGATGGAGAAGAGGGGGCCACAGGTGTTGGTTTTCAAAGTTGTTTGGCTGAAACACGAAGACACTGGAAGTCCACGTGGATCAATTTAAAAGATAAAAGCAGGTTTTGGCCTTCTTCACAAACTGAAACAAAAATAACCTTCTGCTGAGTAAACAAATCCTCAAGCTGTGTAAGTTAATCCAAGATGAGGTCTGGGGAGACGACAAATGGTTTTGAAGGGGAAAATGTTGATAAATCAGAACTGGATCTCTGTTTTATGTGTACCTGAGTCAGAGGGAGAGAGGCACATGTGCCACAGCCTGCATGTAAAGAAGAACGACCTTGAGTGTTGCTTGCTGCCTTTCATCTTGACTAGGGAAGGGTCCTTACTCTTCGCCACTGACCCCAAATTTCTGAGAATTCTCCTATGTGGCTCCACGTTTGGAGGAGCAATAGGTTTACAGACGCACCTACTGCTTCCAACTTTTATGTGGTGTGTAGATCAAATAAGCAACATCCCCACAGGCTATTTCAACACTTGGTCCCCAAATAGTGGCGGTGTTTGTGGAGGTTATAGAATCTTTAGGAGGGAGTATATATAATCACTGTAGGTTTTATAGCCTGGGCCCACTTCCCCCTCTCTGCTTCATATGTGCAGATGAAATTTCTCTCTGTGCTTCCAAGCAGCCAGGCCAGCCTCATTCTCCTGCTGGCATGCCTTCTCCACCTTTACAAACTCTTACCCTTTTAAACTGTAAGCTAAAATAGATCTTTTTTCCATAAGCTGCTCCTTATCAGGGTATTTTATAACAACAGAAAAGTAACTGATACATGTGGGTTCTGAGGAGTTGATCTCAGGTCCTCATATTTCCACAGTCAGTACTTTACCCACTGTGCCATCTCCCGAGCTCAAACATGAACCTTTAAAACATAAAATATGCAGGCTAATTTGGGATATCATCTATAAACAGAAAACGTTTCAGCTAATACTCCTGCTTAGATTAAGTCATCTGTCAATCCATTCAATGGCCCCCACCAAGAAGTGGATGTAAAAGCTCCATGGTCCATACCACGCTATTGTTTCCACATGATGCTGCAACTCTTTCTCCCTTCAGCCATCATCAGAAACAACCTTCTCTTCAAACGAAAAACTCACAGAACAATAGATACAGTCATGTACATACAGGGATGTAAGTTGCCACCTTTGTTAAAAATTATTTAATTATATTTTGCACTTGCCTTTCCTAGTTCTATACCAGAAAACAAAATATTTGTTGAAATGTGCTGTAGTAATAAAATGGAGTATTGGGAGCTAGAGAAATGGCTCTGAAGTTAAGAGTACTGAAGTTGCAGAGGACCTGGGTTCAATTCCCAGCACCCACATGGTGGCTAACAACGAATTCTAAGGGATCTGCACCCTCTTCTGGTCTCCTGAGCATTGCACATACATGGTGTACTTGCATACACGCAGGCAAAACATTAAATAGAAAGGAAGAAAAGGCGGAGAGAGAAAAGGGGATATAATATGGAATATCTTACTTCCCCAGTAAGGAAGAAATCACACTAAACTCAGGGGTGGTATTGCTCAGCACTGGGGACAAGTGCTGATAAATGAATCTCTAGGTGGGTTTCTTGATTGTGTCGAACCTCATGGAGTGCACTGACACACACCTAAATGAGGTAGGCCAGTAACTGGTGGCCCCTTTACGTAATCAAGAGATGCGGAGAAAATGAAATGGATGGGGGCCTGCAAGATGGCTCAGTGGGTAAAAGCCTGACAACCTGAGTTCAATCCCCAGAACCCATGTAAAAAGCAGTTATGGTGGCCAACATCTGTAGTCCTAGCACTCCTATGACAAGATAGGGGGTGGAACAAGGATTCACCCAGAAGCTCCCACATCAGCTAGCCTAGAGTATGCAGCACAGCAGAAACAGGGGAGACCCTGCCTCAAAACAAGGTAGAAAGTGAGGCTCAACTACAGAAAGTTATCCTCTGACCTCCACACATGCTCTGTGGCTTGCATGTGTCCATACTCCCATACAGAAACATGCACATGTGCATACACAGACACAAACAATAATAAAGAAAATTATATAGACAGGCCACTGCTAGCTTAACTCAATTATCCTGTTTTGCTCTACAATGTATTAGCAATCAACAGTATAATAAATACCAACCATTTACTATCAAGTGGTGCACACTTAATTTATGTGCTATAGTTTTAGCCAACTGGCAAGGAAATAGTTTACACCAGCATCACCACAAACATGTAAGGAAGGCACTATGCTATGACACTCCAATGGCTGAGACTTTCCCACAGCTATGATGTCATGAGGAATTTTTCAGTTCCATTATATTCTTACTGGCACAAATGGAGTTCATTGTGTACCAAAAATGTTATGTGGCACGTGACTGTGCCTGCTTGTAAACAAAACACAACTGGTTTAACAAAAAACCAACAGACCCAGCTAAAGGGTTAGCACAATCATTACACATCAGATTGAAAGTCTTGCTTCCTTCCCCTAACCCACAAACCACTGCTTAGGCCTCTTGAGGCTCCCGAGACATGCCCTCATTTCCGAGCCAAGCTCCCATCATCTTAAGCCACTGGCTGACATGAATGTTCTATTTCTAATTCTCTTGTGACCAAATAGGTACATGTCCTCCTTCAAAGTTCTACTTTGTTTGTTTAAACAATGAACATGCAAAAGATTTAGGGGTCTTTTGTTGATTCTTACCTTCCACCCATAATGAAAAATGTATTTTAAAGTTATACTTAAACTGATGCAGGCTAAGTTTTTAAAGTCATATTTGTAACATCCTGAAACAGTTATTATGAGGACCAGGAGTAGGGGTGGAGGAGGAAAAAAGAATGCTGTAGGAGCATTCTAAAGCAGGAAATAAAGTATCTGCAATTCAAATTTTCAAAGACTAGCATCTCTAGCAAATTTTCAATTCACATTTGAACTTCTCCAAATGTATAATTTGTTGAATAGTACATGCCACAAGGTCAAAAATGTTATTAATCTGACAGCAAGCTAAGCAAGTTAGCGGCAATGAGCACTGCTGCTTTGTAACCATGGTAAGCATATTACCCTACAAAGCCCTAGGTCCCCCACCTGGAGGACCAATGCCCAAGTCACAGAGGACCTGAGGACAGTGATGCTGTTAGAGTTTGAACAGGAAATATTCACAAATGGCTCACATAGTAAAGCCTTGGTCCCAGCACTGGAGAGATAGCTAAATGGGTAAGAGTGCTCGTTATGAAAGCCAGAGGACCTGAGTCCTAAACCACAGCACCTACATAAAACCCAGGCATGACGATACATGCCTGTAACCCCAGTGTTGGCTGAAGGGCATAGACAGGCAGATCCTTGGAACCTACTAGCCAGTCAGCCTAGACAAAACCATCGTCTTCAGGTTGAGTGAGAGACACTGTCTCAAAACAACAACAGCAGCAGCAAAATGGAGAGTGAGAAAGGAAGACATGCAACATCATCCTCTAGCCTTCAGATACACACATGGACATTCGTACCCACTGGCACAGGTGTGTGCTCATGTACATACATACACTATTTTGGGAGGTGGCACAAATTTTAGGAGGTGGGACCTACTTGGAGTACATCACTGAAGGCATGCCTTTGAAGGTTATACATGGTCCCAACTATGCCTCCTCTTCTCCCTCCAGTCCATCAGGAGGTGAGCCACTCTGCTCCACCACGTGCTCCCAATCATGACTGTTGCCGCACACTGGCCCAGAAACTACAGAGCCAAGCGACAGACTCGGTCCTCTAAAACTGTGAGCCAGAACAAATCTTTCCTCCTGTAGGCATTTGTCTCTATGATTTTCACACTATTTGTCTAACCATTGCCTTCCAGAGACACAGTAATAGCATGTGGAAGGAAAGGCAAAGGCCACCAGAGGAGAAGAGCTATGGTTAGAGCCATAGTACCCATGGTAGAAGCCATAAGCAGAGAAAGCAACTCATAGCCACACTTTGCAATCCCAGCCTGTGACACCAGCTTTCAGGAGGCTAAGACAGAGTTTGAGGCCAGCTTGGGCAATAACCAAGGGACAAGGGAGAATGGGGTCCCTAACACTAACTGATTGCTAACTACATGTCAGGCACTGAGAGTTTAGGGTATTATGTTTTAGCTAGTTATAGCAATAACTTCATCAAGTGCAACTAGTATTATCCCTTTGCACAGATGAAATGGTTCCAGAAAGGTCAAACCAGTGAGGGGCCCAACAGTAGTTGCCCTATGCTCCTGTGCCCATACATACAGATTATAATCTGAGCACCGTGCATGCTGCCTCTGAGAGCAGCCTGTTCAATCTGCTAACAATTACACTGGCCCAACAGCAAGAGCAACTAGGAAGTGCATAAACATAGGCTCTCATTTTTGCTGAATCATAACACATTAACTGACTGAATGTTTATTCAAATTTTCTTCACAAAATAATCTGCCCCAAAAGGCTGCCAGCCCCAAGGTGAAGGAGTCAGGACCCTGACAACAATTACCAGAATGGGCACATGGAAAGGGCACTTACATACACACAAAAGAAGGTATAGTTACTGCCCACACAAGCAGGGAGTGTGCTCACTGTGCACCACTGTGCCCAGGAACCACCAGCAGACGCTCAGGGCAGTACTTGTTTTACTAACTGATCCCCAAACACATTTTAGTGTATACAACCCCTCCCCCATTAGATATTTTAACCCAGGGGATTAGACACAGTCAGACACCTCGGAGGATTCTCATGTGGGTGCTCAACTGAGGAAACCAGCGTGCCTCCAGTGTTCTCAAGGGAGGCTTCTATCACAGAACATGGGAAATGTTTTGAGTAACTTGTTTTCTTGGTTCTCCAAGGATTCTCAAAGCACAGGAGAGGAATTTGTTACACATTCCTGCTGAGAAAAACGCTATTTCAGTCATCTTGGCCTGCCAAAGAACATCTCTAAGCAAAGAATATATTCCTCAGAAAGAGGCAAAAAAGGGTCCCAAGTTTCTACTTCACTTAGAGCCCAAGGCCCCTCATAGCCTCTCCTTCCCAGCATGGACCTCACCAGCAACAAAGTCAGCAGGCCCTTCGTCCAACAGTTAAGGTCAGCCATCACAAAGGGCTCAGCACTCCTGGGTTACCCTCAACTCTAGCATTCCTCACAGCTCTGGAAACATAGAAGGGCTCAATCTGGTAATTCCCTCTCCCAGATTCACAATATAACTATCAGGGAAATTCCTACTTGTTTTATCTCTCTCTCTCACCAATGAAGTATAAGCCACACAGACAGGAGTTACTATCTGGCACATTCAGCAGGCACTTAATAAGTATTTGTTGGGGCTGTGAGTATAACTAAGTGGTACAATACTTGCCTATCATACACAAGGCCCTGGGTTTGACCCCTAGAACCATAAGAAAAATAAAATTAAAATGTGTTGGTTAAACCAAAAACTTTTATTACTCAGAGTCCAACCTTGGCCTTCTTCTTCGGTGTTCTCATAAGCATCTTTTTATTCCAACAAAAATGAAATTTTAGTGTTCCCCAAAGATAACCAGACTTCTTCAACTGGGCCTACTTGTGTTGTTCTTACAACTAGAAAATGCATTCTTGGCACAGGACTGTCAGAATTCTGCCTAGCCTGAAGGATCATCAGAGGCCTCTTCCTACATAACCACCGCCAGAAGAACAAAAATAGATCCCTCTCCTCTCCCACTCCTGTTCTCCAGAAGCACCATCTGTGATCCTGTACAGGGCCATCTAGTGCTGCCAGGCACACCTAGTGCTGCCTTTATTAACATACTCCCTCTGCCCAGCTCGTTTTCTCTGGTTCAGTGCACTAAAGACAGCATGAAACTTGAAGGTAGTATGCCTGTGTACCAGTAACTTTGGCATTCCTTCCAGAATGTAGGACAGTGCATTAGTTATGACTGTCACTTGCCTGTTGTGGCTGAGCTGTGATATTAACCAAGCAACGCAAAACCAGCACTGCACAAAAACATGTACTTAAGAGGTCTGAGCCAATGAGAAACCACACTGCTTTTGGTCCAGGCTGCAGGGTACTCCATATAGAATGCTAAAGACGTGAAACCACACCGGTTTTGGGGGTTACCTTTCCTGATTGCTGAGTTTGGCATACATAGCTTCCACCAATTCCGGGCTTTTCAGAAAGTGGTCTGTAATAATCAAGAATCTAAGGGGAAAAGAAGGGTGGGGGAGAGTTTGGTTACTTCAACAATAAAACAGACATGTTCTTATCTACTTTATGGGTATATCTTACACACACACACACACACACACACACACACACACAGCCTTTAATTTTATTAAACTTTTTGGTTTACTGTCATTTAAATGTTTTGAAGTTCACATATTTTTTTTCTATAAGCAGCAAAAAGTGGGAAAAAAATTTTGAAGTATTGTTCAACTTTCCACGTGAAAAATTTCTAGCAATAATTCAAACTGATTCAACTGGAGAAACGGGTCTACTATAGCTTTTACCTGAGGTGCAAAAGGAAAATTCTTCACTATGAACAGTAACACGAAATTTAGCTACAATTTCAGATCCAGACAGGAAACACAGCACACCATTTCAGTCAGAAGCTTAGTACTGTAAGATGAGGCAGAGAAATGGACATGTCATACTGTTTTTAAGAGATGACAACAATGCAGTGATGAATCCTGGCTTGATTTTCCACTCTTTAAGAGTTCTCAAATTACCAAGAAAACATCCACACTGTCAAGCAATGTGCTCACCTGAACTTATGAGATGACTATGGACGCCCCGAGGCAAAGATTATAAGGCATATTTCTTCAAAGTACGTCTGTGACATCTAAAAAGACTAAATAATATTCATTCTGAACTGTGTCTACCAGAAGGGTTTCTGACAAAAAGATTTAAGAACTAAGGAAAATAATGTATAATGCTATAAATATGGTTACAGTAATGCAAGTTGATCATAAAATTGTAAATACACTAAGAAACTATTTAACCTCTTGTTAACAAACAAAATGTCATTCAGTATGACAATCACACATCAGCCATTACAAAACATTGTCCTTCAAGTAGAAGTAAACTCCAGCACTGGGGATGTAGCTCAGGGGCGGACAACTTGCACAAGACCCTGTGTTTCCTCCACACTACTATCACCCTAGAAAAAATTTTAAACAAGTATTCTATTTCTTCTACAATCTTTAAAATAGACATTACTTGGAATTAAATGTTTCTAATAATAAATGATAAATTTTTCAATAGTATTCCTATTTATTTATATAGTTTATCAAATGGATTAAGAATTCATACATTCTGGGGCTGGAAAGATGACTCGGAGGTTAAGAGCACTGGCTGGTCTTGCAGAGAACCCAGGTTATTCCTAGCACCCATGGTGGCTAACAACCATCTGTAACTCCAGTTTCAGTGGATCCAATGCCCTCTTCTGGCCTCCAAGGGTGCTACATGACCCAGGCATAACACTCATACACATAAAATAAAAAATAGTAATTTTTTAAAAAAATTCATGCATTCCAAGTCGGGTTCACAAATAAAACTGGAATCCTAAAGCCTGCTCATAAGTCAGCTACTTGAAATTCAAAATACTTTCTCATGAAAATATTAAAAAAAAAAAAACAGTATTTGCCAGGAGTGGTGGCACACACCTATAATCTCAGCACTCTAGAGGCAGAGGCAGACAAACCTCTGTGAGATGGAGGCCAACACAGAAAGTTCCAGGCTACACAATAAGACTGTCTACCTTTAACAGCCGTCATCAAAAAGAAACACCAGCAATATGCTAAGTACTGTACCAGCAGCTAGAACACAAGTTTTATTTCCAAAAATACTCTCCGAACAGCAGAGAAAAAGCCACATGCAGACAATTACAGAAGAATGTGCAAAGTGTAACATGTAGACACACATCACACAGTACAGAAGCCAGTGCAGGGAAAAGTGGTGACGTACAGGAGAAGAGCAAGACATCAAAGAGGCCAGAGAAGACTTCCACGACTTCCCAGGAGAGAGAACACTTAGCACAGAGTGGAACAAAAAGAACTTTAAAGCCAGGCGTGGTGGTGCAGGCCTTTAATTCCAGCACTCAGGAGGCAGAGGTAGGCGGTTCTTCGTGAGTTCGAGGCCAGTCTGGTCTACATAGTAAGCTCCAGGCCAGCCAGGGCTACAGGGAGACCCTGTCTCAAAAAGACCAAAAGAAAAGAAAAGGGAGGGGAGGGGAGGGGAGGGAAAAGAAAAAAGAACTTTAAAAGACTGTATGAAGGAAAGAATAGCTATGTGACCAGGGAACACTAATCTATGCTGTTACAGATCTGGACCTACTGTGGCTAACTCGATGACTCAAAACCAGTCAATAAACTCCTTTTGTGCACATGCTTTCTGAACTATTCTCCAGACACTCAAGATTCACCAAATTTGTAAATAATATAATGCTTACCACATGCAACACACTGCTTTTTTGTTAAGGATTCAATGACATAAAAAACACTGTTCTTGCTGGGCGTGTTTCTTGTGGCTCACGCCTTTAATCCCAGCACTTGGGAGGCAGAGGCAAGTGGATCTCTGTGCGTCCAAGGCCAGCCTGGTCTACATAGTGAGTTCCAGGACAGCTGGAGCTACAGGGAGACCCTGTCTCAAAAAGACAAAAACAAAAAACAAAGAAACACCCCACTGTTCTTGCCATCAAGAGTTCATTCTAATGAACACTTTAATGCTATGAATCCAGGACACACAGATGTGGTTAGCAAACAGGAGATGGCAAATTCGGAGTACAAGAGCAAGGACAATTATGTTTACCTTTCAGACTTAATACTGAAACAGGTAACAATGTGTATTAGGTAGGTGACATGCCTAGAACAAAGGATTTTAGTTTGGAAATGGAGCTTTCTTGTGCAAAGTAAGTGAACGAGATGATCCAAATACAAATAGGAAATAATGCTTTACTCTGTCATTATTTTAATTTTCTAAAGAAATTAAGTACAAGCTCAAAAGAATGACTAAAGTTTAGGCCAAAAGGCAAAAAACTAAGAGATCATACTTGGAGATGCACACCTCTTCTCTAAAAAATCAGTAATTATTATAACACATGACACCGTGAAAAGGAACAAAGCTTCAAAATTGGTAAAGCTTTCTGTCTTTCTGCAATGTGTTAGCTGTGTAACTTCCAGGCAGCTATCATCTGTATGTAGCAGCAGAGCACCACTCACAGGATGGCAGCATGAATGCCAGAACACACATAAAGAGCTCCAGCTGTCCCACGGGATCTATCAGACGCGGCCCCACCCACTTTACTACATAATTTTGTTTCTAACTCATTCTTTAACTTATTTACTCATTCACTGACAAAGTCAGATGAACTCAAAATAGAATCTTGGATTCACATAGAATCATATCTAAGATTCACAGATTTTCATACCTATGAACAAAAGCACACATTTTTAGAAGATATTATCACAATAATTCAAACCAAAGACGCTTGCCTATACTTTCCTGTTACTCCAGTAAATCTAAACAAAAAGATGCAGAGCTACTGCAGTCTTACACCTTTCCCTTTCCAAGAATGAAGAGGAAGAAATGAGATGACAAACCTGTGACTTCTGAGATCACGTAGTTGATGCTCTCAACAGCTACATGAAAGTCCAAGGAAAAGGTCAGGCAGGGAACCTCTCCCAATTTTCAGGAATCAATTGACATTTAACAGTAAAACATAATTTTCTGGAAGCCGCTGGATAGTTCATTGCCAAATGCAGCTCGTGAGCTACAGAATTTTCCACTGACAACTATTTCCCTCCTTTTTTCCTGTCTTAACTGCACACGATGACCTCTGATAGTTTTTTAACTACTCTCAAGTAGGCTTTGCATCTTACCTATTGTGACCTTGTTGGTCCTTTACTCCTTTATTTATTCATATCTGTTAAGATACAGATCCCACCTACCTAGCTAACAGGATTTGGCTACAGAAACTTGCTCTAAGTTTCTGAGCTCTAATGCCTCATCCTGACTGATTAGAAATGCTACATTTTCATATAAGGGATGCTTTCCAAGTTAAATTGTTTATTTGCATATGGTAATTCAAATACAAATGATATTCGGAAAAGTAAATAATTTAAAACTCAGCTATAACTTCAATGTAATGATGACAGTTCACTCAAAAGGCCAAACTAAAAAGGTTTCAATTTCACTCAAGGCTCACTACATCAGAAGGCCACCTGTGCCCTAACCACAAGGCCCACTGTGAGGAACACAACCACAAAGACACTTAGATTATTAGGAAAAGACTATTAAAATGGGAACATCAAAAATAAAATATAAACAAGATTTTTGGTGAGCTTTATAAAGAAAAACAGATCAGCTTATTAGGAGATAATGTAACAAACTGTAAACATCTACCTCTGTATGTACTTGAGAGCCTGAAAATGAGTGGAGCAAACTGAAAGAACTGACAAGAGACTGGGCATGGCAGCACACACCTGTAACCTAGCACTTGAGAGGCGGAGTCCAAGGCCAGCTACGGCTACATGGCAAGATCCTGTCTCAAAAGAGGGGAAAAAAAATACACTGATGGGAACACTCCGGCAAAACCCTAGCATCTATATTAAAAGGTATGCGACGGTGTGTGCCTGTAATCCCAGCATTGGGAAGGCAGAAACAAAGTAGATTCCCTGGAGCCTGTTGGCTAGCCAGCCTAGTCTAATTTGTGAGCCCCACACTCCAGTGAGAAACTCAAAGAACGAGGTGGACAGCTCTGGAGGAACACCACCACCAAGGGCAAATACTGGCCTACATACAGAGCATAAAGAAACAGCTCCACCACAGCACCCTAGTGACTGCTTGTATACACCTACAAAGGCCACACAGGCCAAAGCTTAAACAGCAGCTCATCTGCATCTTGCTTACTGTCTTGGTTCAAGAACAAATGAAGACGGGAGGTTCTTTCTTACAAGTTATTGTGAGATAGAGTCCAATGGAGTATTACAGAGTTCTTTCTGCAGCAGCCCTCTCAGAATGTAAAAGCAGCTTGTCTCTCTAAGTAACAAATTTTCTAAACCTATAAGAGGCTGCTCTTAATTTCAGCAAACAGGCCTCACCTGGACCTGTGTGTGTCTGACATTGAGTCCCAGAAGAACAGGTCAAAGAACACAGGACTGAAAAAGTATTCAAGCAAGTCATGCCCAAAAACTTCCCAACGTTCAAGAAAGGCATACAAGTAGCAGGAACCCCCCCACCCCCCAAAACAAGCTCATTATTAACTTCTAAAAAGACAAAGAAAAACAATGTTTTTAAAAGCAACCAGAGAGAAATCAGGCCTTCTGTTTAGATAATGGGAACAGCCAAGTGTCTTCTTTACACAGTGCCTAAAAGAACCAGATCAACTCCTGATCATTTTAAAAAAATATTTTATTATTTTATGTGTATGAGTACATTACCCGCATGTATGTAAGTGCATCCGTGTCATGCAATGCCCGTGGAGGTCAGAAGAGAGCATTGGATCCTGTGAAACTGGAGTTATGGATGGTTGTTAGTTGCCATGTGGGTGCTAGGGATAGAACCCAGATCCTCTGCAAGAGCAGTCAGTGCTCTTAACTGCTGAGCCATCTCTGCAGTCTCAACTCCTGATCTTTAATGAGCCATCACTGAGGCCCCAGCAGTCTCCAAGGTGCTGAGACATCCTTACACTGTTTTCATTCACACACCAAGAATACCCTCCTCTTTACCACCTTAAAGAATCTCCTTACTTCGAGGTCATACACCGATTTACATCTCTTTCACAACCTCAAAAAGTCCAATTTTGTTAACGATACATTAAAACATGATATGGTTATCATGATTTTACTTAAAATTTCTACAAAGAGGGAGCTTGGAGAGATGGCTCAGTGGTTAGGAGCACATACTGCTATATTGGGACCTGGGTTCAGTTCCCAATACCCACATGGTAGCTTAAAACTGTCTCTAACTCCAGTTCCAGGGGATCCAATGACCTCTTCCAGCCTCTATGAGCACAGCACACACATAGCATACTCACAATACATACAGGTAAAACACTCATACACATAAAATAAAAGTACATCTTTAAAGATAAAACCTTCTTTAAAAGGGCTGAAGATGTACCTCAGTGGAAGAACACCTGTCTACATGTGCAAAGCCCAAGGACCATTTAATTCCTCTGCACCACAAAAATGTCAACAAACAAACACATAGTTGGCATACACTGGGCATGAAAGCAATAATTCAGCTACTCAAGAGGCTGAGGCAGAGGATCAAACCTTCAAAGCCAGCCTGAAGAACACAGCAAACCCCTATCTCAATATAATACTAAAGCCTCTACAAGGAAAATATCTGTGAGGATGACTTGCGAGCAATCGGACTTCTAGCAGGACACTTACGGCCACTCGGACTCCGGGTGCTTCTGCTGGGCTTCTATGACATTAATCGCAATATTGAGGTTTTCTTCCAGGTCTTTCATTCTTTCAGGATTAAGAGATGTGAACAAAATCATTGAACAGTAGGCAACAATTTTTTTGTCTGGATGATTTAAGCAAGACCTTCCAAACAAAGAAATGCAATTCTTAGTCTAAATTAGCAAACGGAAAAATATAAATAATATCAATCTTTAGCAAATTCAGTATAACTGATTTATTTATGTATTTATATTTTATGTATATTAGTGTTTTGCCTGCATGTATTTAACTGCACCCATGCATGCAGTGCTCACAGAGGCCAGAAGAGGGTATCAGATCCTTTGGAAGTGTAGTTAAGGATAGCTGTTAATCATCATGTGGATGCTGGGAACAGAACTTGGGCTCTCTGCAAGAGACCCAGTACTCTCTGACACTGAGCCATCTCTCCAGTCCCATATAACTGATATTCCTAAGAATTAATAATTTATAATGCTGTGAAACAAAGCATACTACTGACAAATGTAGTAAGTATAACATTAAGATACAATAAAAAGGGACTGGAGAGATGACTCAGGGTTAAGAGCAGGTACACCAACCTCATTCACAACTGCCTGTAACTGCAGTTCCAAGGGATCCAGTGCTCTTCTGACCTCCACTGGCAACTGCAACATATTCCCACACAGACATACATGCATACACGTAAATAAAAAAATAAACCTTAGAATAAAGACTAGAAAAAATTACACTTGACTTAGGACTTAAAAGTGAAAAGCAAATAACATCTGAGATAAAGATAAAAATGATCATATTTATAAAGCATTAAAAATGTTCATTCTGTTAAAACAAATCATAAGCATTCCCTCAACAGCCACAGTTATAAGGGACAGACATCTAAAAGAACAGAAGGACTCAGAGTTAAGAGCCATAATATGATTCCTAAATCATTTGCTGACCAGCTATATGGCCTTAGCAAAGCTGCTCTTTTATCAGTTCTCAGCTTTAGCATGGCTCATCACAGATTCTCCGACTTCATGACCCTTGGTGTGGTGGCAAATGCCTGTAATCCCAGCTCTCAGGAGGCTGAGACAAAAGGATCCCGAGTTCATGAACAGCCTGGGCTACATACTGAGCTCCAGGTTAACCTGGGCTATGTAAAGAAACCCTGTCTTGCCGGGCATGGTTGTGCATGACTTTAGTCCCAGCACTTGTCCCAGGCAAGAGGCAGGAAGATCTCTGTGAGTCCAGGGCCTGCCTAGTCTACGTAGTAAGTTCCAGGGCAGCTGGGGCTACAGTGAGACCCTATCTCAAAAAGACCCAAAAGAAAAAAAAAGAAAAAAAAAAAAGAAAGAAAGAAACCCTGTCATTAAAATGTCAATAAACATTTAAATTCCCTAACATTCTTCTGATGTGGTTATTTCCATGATTTACAGATGAAGAACTCTATTGATCACATTTGTCCAATGGCACCAAGTCCAAATTAGGACTCAAGTTTGGATATGGCTGCCTCATAACTGCAGAGTGAAATCATGTAACTTCTTTTAATATGTCAACAACATACTCACATGAAGAGTTCTGGGAAAGCATGGACCCAAACAATGGATTGAGAGTCTTCATTCCGTGAGGCAATGTTGCCTAAAAACTGCAGGCCACAGCGAAAAGCTAGGAATACAGAAAAGTAAAAATTAAAGATATCAGATTAAACAAATGTATAAATACATATTAAGAAATACTGCCCATGTGATTTAACAGCGGTGAGTGTGTGAGTGCGTGTGTGTACATGAGGGTCTCACTCCACAATGAAACTTCAAGCCTGACAGTAATATGCCTCATCAAAACAACATTCTATGTGAAAGTAATTTTAAAAATTTTTTTTTAATTTTTATTATTTTTATGTGTATGTGTGTGTTACCCGTGTCATGCAATGCCCTCGGAGGACAGAGAGGCCATCTGATCCCCTGGAACTGGAATTACGGACAGTTGTTAGCTGCCATGTGGGTGCTGGGATTTGAACCCGGGTCTTCTGTAAAAACAGCCAGTGTTCTCAACCACTGAGCCATCTCTCCAGCCCCAAAAGTAACTTCTTAGATTATAAATGTAAGCACAAATATAAATTACATGAAATACCACTGAAATACACACTCCAGTTAAAAGATGGCTACAAGTTGGGCCTGTCTGCACATGCCTGCAACCCTGGTACTCCAGAGGCTGAGGCAGGAGGATCATGCTAACCAAAGGTACACCAAGACCAATCCAGTAAGACTCTGTTTCAAAACAAAAACCAAAACTAAACACAGCAATACTTAAGAATTTTAAGTCACTAACCATATGCTACTTAAAAGACATCTAAAAACATAAGGTTAGAGAATAGTAAGTTAAAGAATGCTAAAAGGATAGACCAGTGAAATATCAGTCAAAATAGAGTAAGAGACCACTTCAATCAGACTTAATAAACATTAATGCAAAAGGCATAACCAGAAAAATTTTAGGTAACTCTTACAGAATAACATGAAAAGATGTGACAATTTCAAACTGGAATGCACCTGATAACATAAGGAAATAATAGTAATATAAATCTGCATCCTCAAACATGAAGGAGAACTGACTACAGTAAACGGGAACAAGGAGGTCGAGTAATTAAAATACACCTTTCTCTGCAACTTCAAGAAAACAAAAATATCCATACATCTCAGAGATTTGAGCACAACTTAATAAAAGCCTAACTCACATTTAGAATATAAAAGAGCAAAATATTGGCCAAAAGTTCAGATGAGTGACACCACCAGACGCTGGAGAAGAAGTAAACAACACAAACTTGCTGCGAGCCGCACCGCAGCACGGTGCAGTCACTTTGGAAAACAGCCTGGCAATTTCTTACAAACTAAACACACACGCACGCACGCACGCACACAAAACCATTCATTAAACTGTCAAAATACAAATGAAAACGATGCATGTACCAAGGCAGAAATTACAAAATACAAATCAGTACGTACCCCCCATGGGGGAGGCTTCTTTAACCTCATCAACAAGAAGTCTGCAGCGCACAGTATAACCAATAGCCAGCTGTAGCAACAGATTCCTTTTGAAAGAAAATGAGTCCAAGGCACCCATATCACCACTTATAGTTAAGAGCATACAGAAAAACTCCTGCCAGCAAGACAAAAGATCTGAAGACTAAAAAGGAACAAACCAAACTACCAAACCCCACCACAGATAAAATGCTAAAGTATAGAGAGAATTTTTTTTTGTTTTTCGGAGCTGAGAGCTGAACCCAGGGCCTTGCGCTTGCTAGGCAAGTGCTCTACCACTGAGCTAAATCCCCAATATTTTAAGTGGGCTTTTTGCATTCTTAAAGAGAACTTATAAAAGTTGGTAGAAAAAGTCAGTATTAAAAAAAATTGAGTATCACTGCATACACAGAACAATCGTAAGGACGCTGGGCCGGGGCTATACCTCAGTGGTACCCTTTCTTACCATGTGCAAGGCCCTGGGTTCAATGTCCACTAGGAGTCAGGAGGGACAAAGGTACCATTTATAAAAGTATCAAAATCCTGGGCTCAGAGTTGGCACCACGCTTTAAGTCTCAGGCTCATAACCAAAGAGGAAAGTCCCAAAGTACAAGTGAAAGCGACATGCACACCACTAAGGAAGAAATCATGGAACAAGACAGAACGCCAGGTTAAGGGAAGAACTGTACTAGAGACTCAGTTTCCATCTAGATAGTACAAGAAATCCCAGTCTAGCTCCAAATAGGGCAGTCCACATACATACATGTGTATGTGCCATTTCACCTCCCAGAGGACAGACACGTTTCTAGGAAATCTGATGAAACCATTCTAAAATTCATATGAGGATAAGACTGTTAATAGCTAAGACATTGTTAAAAGTCAAAGAGGATTTGAGTTCACAATAGCATCTGCTAGTTGTCGGTAAGATAGGGTGGTATCAAGATAGGAACAGACAGACTACAGAAAAGAACTTGACTCAAATCTATAGTGATAAACAATGACAGAGGTACAACAGCAAATCAGCACGTAAAAATGGTCTATATAAAATTTAGTACTGGGGCACCTGAGCATCAGCATGAAAAATCTGATCATGGGCTACTGCCTCACTCAAGACAGAAAATTCGAAAATTCTATTCCAGCCACTAACCTGAGTATGAAAAGCCAAAATAAAAAACCTTATAAAACATCAAGGAATTTTTAATGCAGAGGAAAATATTAATAAACATATTAAAATTAATAACATATGAACAGCAACGCTTTTTTTCTTAGAAGACACAAGAATTTTTAAAAAATCATCACAGAATAGAAGATGTATGAAATACCTAACTGCCTTTGGAGTCATAGCATAGTCAAAAAACTCTTACAAACCATTTTTAAAACAAAGATAATAGAAAAACGGGCAAAAATCCTTTTTTAGAAAAAAATTAATTCACAAGATCCAAGAGGGGGAAAAGCATGAAAAGGCCAAGAAGTCGTACTTCACACCCACCAGACTGGCACAACTGACACGTAGTTAGAAAACCATACAGTGTATGGTGAGGATACAGGAGTTAAAGATTCAAGAGTCAGGGCTGGAGAGATGGCTCAGCAGTTAAGAACACTGGTTATTGGGTTCGAATCCCAGCACCCACATGGCAGCTAACAACTGTCTGTGACTCCAGTCCCAGGGGATCCCACAGCCTCTTCTGACCTCCACGGGCACTGCACAACATGGGTGCACCTACCTACATGCAGGCAATACACACATACACGTAAAATAAATATTTTTTTTAAAAAAAGATTCAAGAGTCCATAAGCTATGACACAGCACACATTTAAATCATTCTTGAGTGCACCAATTCTTAATTTTGTCTCCCAGCTCCACAAACCTTCTTCATTCTCTGCTCTGTGAAAAATAAAGGTGGACCTTCAAAGACAGCTCTTGCTGCCAGCCTTGTCACCAGGATTTACTTCTAGAGGACACCCTCCTCTGCTCTAGCTCTAGGACCAGTTTCTCCAGGCCCAGCTCCCCACAGGACAAGGCGTCAGCAGTACTGGCAGGCAGCGTTTCCTCAGCCAGCCTCATGGCAAAGCCCCCTCGCACCAGAGGGTGAACTTCGACCACTCACCAACACCACCTCTCAGCACTTTGTCTACCACCTAGTGAGCCGTGACTATGACCTCTCCAAGGATCTTAGCCCAGAGTTGGCAGGAAACAGTGTCCTCTCCGGTTCAGCCCTGGGACTAGAAACTACTGTGTCCACAATTCTTATGTTCAGCACTCTCTTTACTTCTCACCATACAATACCATTAATTTAAGTCTTTATGACAGCAATTCTTTTTTTTAAAGATTAATTTTACTATTTCTCCCTTTGTGTGTATGTGTGTGTACAACCACCTATGTGCATGCAGGTGCCCTTGGAGACCAGAAAAGGGTGTTTGGATCCCCTGGAGCTAGAGTTACAGGCAGCTGGAAACTGCCTGATGTGGGTCTCGGTAATGGAGTTCTCTGCAAGAGCAGGAGGCACACAACTGCTAAGCCATCTCTCCAGTCCCCTATGGCAGCAATTCTTTACATTAAACCGTCCTATTGAGCAGGGAGCATAGGCCCCAAATCTCAGAAACTCAAAAGTTCGACATCAGCTTGGGCTATGAAGCAAGAACGTATCTCATACACACACACACACACACACACACACACAAAAAAAAAAAAAAAAAAAAAAAAAAAACAAAAAAAAACAAAAAAACTTCCCTATGCAAATTGTGAGGTAGTTTCAGAAGAGACAAAAGGGAGGGAAGGAGGAAGGAAACAGTAGAACGAGTGGAGTCAAACCTCAGAAAATAGTGACGGGTGAACCAGTGAAGGTAAACAGAAACCAAGCCATGATCTTAAGTAAGAAAATTCATAAACAGAAAAGCAACACTGAGGTGACAGGCTGAGTTACAGGAGGACAGTCCCAGCTCAGTGCTGGAGGGCATGGGGAAGAGTCTGGGGTTCAAGAACCCAAGAACTGCATAGCTTGCTGCAAAACTGTGACCAAAGGCCCCAACATGCAAATCTTAAAACTATGCAAAGAAAACAATGCACCAAGAACCCAAAACTGAATTCGTATTATAACCTAAAATAAAATACAAAACTGCATGTAAACATTTATATCAACAGATACAAATACCAAGAAAACAACTTTTTAAAAAGCAAATGTTTCTCCCAGCCTACTGGTTGTTTTCTCCTATCTACTTTTCTGAGTTTTTTAAAAGTTAGTCTGTAATATATACTAATTAAATGTTTGTAATAGGAAAGTGCTGACCTTTTTCTAAATAAGTCATGATACTAATATTTCTACTGAATACTTCAGAATCTTAACACTCAAATATACAAAATTTAACATGCAAAAAAAAGCCAACGAGGGGACTAGAGAGACGGCGCAGCAGTTAAGAGCACTGGCGGCTCTTGCAGAGGGCCTAGGACCCACAATGGCGGCTAACAACCATCTGTAACCCCAGGTCCAGGGGATCCAACACCCTCTTCTGACCTCCTCAAGCAATGCACAACACAGGTGCACTTACACATATGTAGACAACACACTCATACCTATGAAATAAAAACAATTTTTTTAAAAAGCCAACAGGATAAATTGGTCTGTAAGCCAAATGGCCCACAATTCACCAGGCAGAGCAAAAGCAGCACACAGCTCTGAGGAATCAGAACCCAACCCAGCACACTCTGGAAGAAGACTTAAAAATGGTCTGAGCACAAGAAAGAAGACTCTAGACAGGTAAAATGACAGTGTACTTTGACCGAACATCTTATCAACTGATCTTTATGTAAACACTCCAAGTAGTACAAAGCCCCTCAAAAATGCCAGCATTATTTTTAGATTAGAAAAGAATATGCCAAAAACAACATCAATAGCTCAATTAAAATAACTCATGCTTGTGTTTTCATAAAACTTGATGACCATAATATATTTGTCATACCACTGCAATTATTCCCTGAAAATACTCTAAGTATTATTTTGACAGTGTAATTACACTTCTTACCTCAGAAGCAGTAACAAAAACTGGCCTGCTTACCCTGACAACACTCTCCCTAAAATAAGGTTCTCAGACAAAGTATCAAGATATTGCAGGTACATCACAGAAACCAGAATACTTTTTACAATATCATTGTATTAGGTTTGAACTAACATACTATGAAAAACAATTGAGTTTCTTGTTAAACACAAATTTCACTGTCAAATTCCAAATAAAACTCAGTGCCTTCACTCTCAGTATTTTCGTAGAAAGTGGTAAGAATCTCCTTAACTTTCCTTTTCTTCCTTGCCTCTGGAATATTCTTCCAACTCTGACACAGAAAAAGAGGTCAGTTACTTAAAACCAATACAACTGAAAACTTTTAAATGGAAAATGCTCCAATTTCATGAACTGGAATTGTCAATATTGTAAACATAATCCCTAGTATCTACAAGTGTATTCCTATAATTCAACAATAAAACATTATAATTTAGGGCTGGGCATGGTGGTGCACGCCTTTAATCCCAGCACTCAGGAGGCAGGGGCAGGCAGATCTCTGTGAGTTCAAGGCCAGCCTGGTCTACATAGTGAGTTCCAGGACAGCTGGGGCTACAGGGAGACCCTGTCTCAAAAAACACCAAAAAAAAACCCAACTATTTTTAGTGATATGTTAAGATGATATTTACACAAAGGAAAAGCATTAATGCTAATACAAAAAACCCAAACATGTTCAAAATAGTCTAAGAAATCTTCTGGCTCTTCAGGCTAAGAAGCTGGGTGTTGCTCTTAATCCCACATCAATAGTTATTAACAAGCAGTGCTAACTTCCCTTTCTGTAAACTAGGTATTTGATTTACTTAATAAATGTAATATCTGGCTCTCCTCACTGGAATGTGAACTCCTGGGGGCAGAGATTTTTGTCTGCTTAGGTCACTGTTGGAATCACACAGGTATTAAGTCACTTTTTGATATGAATAAAATACCTGAAAGAACCATTACTTAAGGGAGGAAAGGTTTATTTTGCCTCAAAGTGTGAGATGATACCACAGTCAGTCCATCATGAAGGGGAAGGCATAGTGGCAGTGAGAGCAGCTTGTGACTGGAGCGGTAGAAACTACAGCTGGTTACACTGCCTCAGCAGTCAGGAAGCAGAGAGCAACGACAGAACTGAGGCTGGAATATAACCAGTATGGCTCTGCATCAGTCAGCTAGGCCCCATGTCCAAAATGTTCCACAACCTTCCAAAACAGCACCAACAGCAAAGGACCAAGCGTTCAAGCAAATGAGCCTGTTGAGGACATTCATATTCAAACCATAACAATATCCAAAGTACAGCCTATTGCATACATAAGCATCAAAGGTAGTGCACTGGTCAGCTCAGGCTATGACAAAGAGCAGCAGACTAGGCAGCTCCAAATATACTCATCTTCTCACCATTTTGAAGGGGATTAAAGCACAGTGAGGACTGAGTTCTTGAGCCCTCTCTTCTGGATATTAGATGACAACCTGCTTCCTATGTCTTCACATGACCTTTATATATGTGCGCTAATATCTTTTTCTCAAATAACACCATTTTTCTTTCATTTTCAAAAAACAAAACATTTCTTCATTGTACCTTAATTACCTCTTTCAGAATCTTATCTCCAAATGCAATCACATTCTGGGTACTGAAGGTGAGAATTTTGCTCTGGTCTGAATGTTTCTGTCCTTCTAAAAGTCACATGCTGGGGGCTGGAAAGATGGCTCAGCAGTTAAAAACACTGGCTTGCTCTTGCAGAGGACCGAAGTTCAGTTCCAGCACCCACATGGTAGCTAAAAACCATTCATAACTCCAGTCCCAGGGGATCCAACACCCTCTCCTGGCCTCTCCAGGCACTGCACGACATGAGTGCACTTACACACGCATGCATGCAGTACACTCATACACAGTGTAAAATAAAAATAAATAACATTCATATGCTGAAATCAAATCTCCAATGTGCTGATAATAAGAGATGGGATCTTAGAGAAGTGAACAGATCCTGGGCTCAGCACCCCTATGAAAGACCAGGAGCACCTTTGCCTTCTGCCTTTCTATAGTGTGAGGACACAAGAAGGCACTTCCACTAAGGCAGAGAGCAGCCCCCACAGGCAACAAACCTGCTGATCCCCTGATCTTAGACTTCCCAGACTCCAGTACTGTACGTAACAGACAAGTATCTATTGTTTATTAATTACTCAGGCTAAGTATTTGGCTACAGCATTGCAAACAGACCTAAGAAAGACTTCAGCGTAAGAAGTTAGGAAGAGCTGCCAGGTATGATGGCACACACCTTTTATGCCAGCACTGAGGAGGCAGAGGCAGGCTGGTCTACATACTGAGTTCTACTAAGTTCCAGGTGAGCTGGGGCTACAGGGAAAATCTGCCTTTAAAAAAAAATAAATAAATAAAGTTGTTAAGAAAGAACTCAACCCATAGCAGGAAGGAAAAAAAGGAAGGGGAAGGAAGTCACACTGACTTTCGTTTATGGCAACTCTTTAATATTTCACTGCCCAAGTTTCGTTAGGCCATGAAATATAGAGCACGTCTTCAGTGAATAACGAAACGCTCACAATGCAGGTTTTAAGCTTTTTCCCAGATAATAAATAATCCATTACTTATACTGCACATTACCTGTCAATAGAGAGTCTTGCTCCACTCGAAGTTCACGAAAGAGAAGAATCAAATCAACAGCAACTCCAATGGTATCCAGGTTCCTGTATTGAATTTTAAAAAAGACAAAATTAAACCAAAGCTATGCTTGTTCTTAAAACTGCATTTCCAATGATGATCTAATGCATGATGCTGAGATTGCTGGCTAAAAGTTCCTGTGGTGGGGAGAATGACAGCCTCCACAAAAACGTTCACGTCCTGATCACCAAAACCTGTAATTATTACCTTATGTGGTAAAGGAGACTTTACAGTCAAGACTAAATTAAGAATCTTGAGATGGAAGGATTGTCCTAAGTTATGTGGAGGCTTATAAGGATCCTTACAGGAGGAACACAAGAAAGCTGGAACCAGGGAAAAGGAGGCCCTGTGCCAAGTAATGTAGCAGGGCTAAAAGCTGGCAAGGAATAGAGCCTCCAGAAGGAAGTGCAGCCATGCCAACCCCTTGTGGCCTTCTGAACTCCACAATTGTAAGGTAATAAACGTATGTTATTTTAAACCACTAAGTGTTTGGTAATATGTCACAGAAACAAAAATAAAGTGACACAGACACTAGCACAAGTGGGATGCTGCTATAACCAAAACCTGAAAAGTGGCTCAGTCTTTTGCATTTATCAGTAAGCAAAGGCTAGAAACATGACAGAAAAAAGCCCACAGTGTCCTGAACAGACTGCTGGTGTTCATGAAGGCATAGCTGGCCAAGCCTGGAAAGAAATGAGAACATGTTATTAGAGGCTAGAGGAAAGGTGATCCTTGCGATGCAGAGCCAAAAGCCCTTGGACAGCACCGTACAGCTGTGTGGAAAGGAAAGAAGAAGGGAATGCCTAAAACCACCATCCTATGCACTGTGATCTCATGCCTACTACACTTTAGAGCAGATGCTTACTTTCTAGTTCACAGGGTCCAGATGAAGCAAAACTTTGTTCCAGGATGAACAGCATCCAGGGTTTCACCTGTGACTGACTGACAATGTCTCCCATAGCGTTCAAGTGTCTGGACACTTGATCCTCAGTTCATGGCACTGTTTGGGGAAGGTCACAGAACCTTTGGAGGTATGGCCATGCTGGACTAAGCATGTCACTAGGAGTGGCTTTTCAGAGTTCTTAAGCCTTGCCAGAATTCCAGTTTCTCTCTGCTTCTGTGCCTGTTTGAATATGTGAGCGCTCAGCCATCTCTGCTACCACACCTCTCCACCATGGTGGACTCTTCCCCTCTGGAACCATAAGCCAAATAAACTCTTCCTTCTCTAAGTTGTTTTGGTCTTGGTGTTTTATCACAGCAACAAAAAAGGAATTAATACAGAAGTTGGTACCAAGAGTTGGATGTTGCTGTGAAGAATCTGACCGTGTAGGTTTTGGAAGAATGTGGAAAGCTTTGGAAGTTTGGGCTAGAAAAGTGGTTGAATGCTGTCAGCAGAGCTTAATGGAGCATTCCAGTAGGAGCCTGGAAGATGGTAGTGCTGAGAGCAAGGTAGCCAGAAGGAAATAAGGACTCAAGCAGCAACTGGGATACTCTGGCAAAGCATCTGGCTGTCTCTGGCCCACACCCTGAGAGCCTGCCTGAGGCTAAGTTGAAAAGTAATGCACTAGTTTCCTTGGTGGAGGAAATTTCATATCAGTCTAATGTAAAATTGGTGGTTTGGTTATTAATGGTGAATATGTTGGAGATCTTCAATGAAAAAGAGCAAGTGGGACAGAAAGAAATATAGAATATAGAGCCTGGAGAGAAAGAATGCACTAGGAGGCTTAGTAATGCCAGAGCTAAGACAAGTGCTAAAGGGGAGCCCTCCTTGTAAGGATTATAGCCACTAAAGAGAGGCCTCCAAATTTACACTCAAACACAGGAAAGAGTACCCTCCGGGCAAGATTCCACCCACCAAAAAAAGGGGGGGGGAATACAGGGCCAAAAAGAATTTCCTGCTCCTAAAGAATTGCTGCAGACTGAAGCTGCTGTTCATAAGGATGAAGCAGGCGGAGGTTCCTTCCAAGCTGTCATCTGAACTTGTCAGTGTCCACTAGTGCTGGCTTTAGAGGCATGAAAGATGCAAAAGCGAGGAGATCATCAGCTCTTCCTCCGCGTTTCAGAGCTGTGGAGTCCAAGCAGTATGCAGCAGGGGCGTTCCCGCGAGAATTAGGCCCTGACAGGCCAAGGAGCCCTGAGAAGCCATTCTATGAAGCTGTGAAGATGAAGCCTTGTTAGCAGTGGAGACTCCAAGAGGTTAGAAATGCCAGAGCCCTAAGACATCGATCTGCCAAGGAAAGCGCTATACAGGGATAGCACCAGCCCAAGAAAAAGAGGTATGTTACAGGCAGCAAAGCTGGAGAGGCTGAATCATCTGAGCCCTTTGGAAGTAGTCCTAGACATGAGACATAGAGCCACTGGATTTGGTGTTTGTCCTTGCTAGCTTTTGGTCTTGCTTTGGTCCAGTATTTCCTCATTATGTCTCCATTCCTCCCTTTTGGAATGGGAATGTGTATTTGGTGCCACTGTATGTTCAAAGTGATTTGTCCTTTTGATGTTACAGGGGATCATGGTTAAGAAAGGGCCTTGAGTTTCAGAAGAGACCTTGGACTTTTGAACAGTGTTGAAACTGTTAAAGACTAACACTTTTAAACTTGGACTAATGCATTTCGTATTACAATATAGTCATGAGCCTATGGGATCCAGGGAGTGAAATGTGTTGGTTTGATTGAGAATATCCTCCATAGGCTCCAAGTATTTGGACACTTGATCCCCAGTGTGTGGCACTGTTTGGGGAGAGTCATGGAACCTTTAGGAGGTATGGCCATGCAGGAGGAAGGATGTCACTGGGGGTCAGCTTTGAGAGTTCAAAACTATGCCCACTTCTAGTCTCACTCACTTTGCTTCCTGTGCCTGCCTAAAGATGTGAGTGCTCAGCTTTCTGCTCCAGCCACCTCCTATCTCCATGCCTCTCTTGCCATTATAGGCTCTCCCTCTGGAACCGTAAGCCAAATAAACTCTTCTTTTAAGTTCCCTTGGTCATAGTGTTTTATCATAGCAAAAGAAAAGTAACCAATACAGTAGATGATTCAGAAGATTATATTTGGGACTTTTAACTAATGAATTGTAGAGGGCATTCTGAACATGATCTGACGCTATTATGGATATAGAATGTGGAGTCTTTGAAATAGCACCCAGTGAGCCTAAACTCTTTGTCTGTTAAAAAAAAAAAAAAATGTTACTTTATCTGGCAATAGACACCGTAATAGAAGCAATCTGTAGTTGATCTCTGTCCTGGGTTCTTGGCACAGAGTTCCTAAAAACACTCAGACTTTCCAGAGTGACAGGAGCATCTTCCATTGTTTAAGTGTTATACTGAGTTTACACTCTTGAAGTAACTCAGGCACAGCTTCAGAATGGTGGATGGCTGCCAAAGGACTCAATCTGTAATCTTTCAGTCTTAGAGACTGAGTTTAATCACCAATGACCAATGGTTTAATCAATCATGTCTGCATAATGAAAAATCCATTTAAAAACTAACATTGAGGACTGGAGAGATGGCTCAGCAGTTAAGAGTACCTACTGCTCTTGCAGAGAATCATATGGTTAACAACCATTCATAACCATTCATAACTCCGGCTCAAGGAAATCTGATGCCCTCTTCTGGCCTCTGTGGGACTGTAGGTACATAATGTACCTACATACATGCAGACAAAACACTCATACATATAAAATAAAAAAAAATACATCTTTTAATTGGGGCTGGAGAGTGGCTCAGTGATTAACAGCACTGGCTGCTCTTGCAGAGGACCTGGGTTCAGTTCCCAGCACCCACATGGTGCCTAACAACTGTCGTAACTCTGATGCCTTCTTCTTACCACCTAGGAATTACACTCACAGACATAAAAATTATTTTGGGGGTGGGGTAGTAAAGGTTGCTGAACCATCAAACTGCTAGGAGGATGGCATGCTCAGAGAGAGCGTGGAAATTTCACCCAGCCCTGTACCTTATACTTCGCATATCCTTCCACTTGGACGCTCCTAGGGTGCAGCCTTTATAATAAACCAGAAACCAAAACACTACTTTCTTGAGTTTGTAAGTCCTAGTGAATTGCTAAAACTGAAGGAAATCACAAATCCTTAATTTTCTAGTCAACTGCACAGAAATGGGGGTTGCCTAGGTACCTGATTTCAAGCTGATATCTGAAGGGGCAAGAATCATCCAAGAGTGAGCCTCTAAGTTATAGCTAATTCCCATACATAGTGTCGGAACAGAAGTGATTTGTTAAGCATTCAGAACTGATGTCAAGAAATATAGGAGACTGTCTAAATGTAATTAAATTGATGATTTTGAGGTGGGAAAATTATCAGACAATCCAGTGGGCCTAATCTAAAAATAAGGGTCCTCATGAGAGGGACATTGAAGCTCAGAGTCTGAAAGAGAGTTTGCTAAATGCTACACTGTTACCTTGGTGATAGATGAAAGGGGTCATGAACCAAGGAACTCAGAAGGCCTCTAGAAGCAGAAAGAGATAAAGGAAAAATTCTCCCCAGAAGCTCCAGGGAAGAACCAGTCCTGTGCTCTCCTGTTCCTCCCCACATTAGGGTGTCCCCCGCCCCCAACCTGGGAAAGCACAAAAGAAATCAGTGTTCTGGCCAATGTTTCAAGCCCATAACTAGTGATATTTTAAAATGTTAACTATCATGGCTGGAAAGATGGCTCAGCGGCAAGGAGGGCTTGCTGCACTCCCAGAAGACCAGAGTTCAGTTCCCAGCACCCACAAAGGACAGCTCATAACCGCATATAACTCCAGTTTCAGGTTATCTGACACTCTCTTCTGGCACCCACACACACATGGCAAATACACAGATATATACACATTAATAAAATCCTTTTCAAAATTTTTAATTAGTTAAAAAATATTAACTAAAATTATTAGCAAGATTGTTATTTCTATCCATTTTCTGCAAATGGATGGTTTGGTTTAGTGTTGAAGTTAAAACAACTTCAGCTTTGCCTTTGATCTTAAAAATCTCATTAATCATATTAAAGTCGCACATACAGACTGTCTAAGCAGCCAAGGAAATCAAGGGGCTTCTGGACCAGTCCAACTTCACCCATCACAGTCCTGATGGAGCGGCCTCGAGGCTGTCTACATGCAAATCTAGGAAAGGTCAGCAACCTGCTTGTGGCTGGCTTTATTTCAAGTAACACACACACACACACACTTCTTTAATTAAAGAAAAGCCAGTTCCATAAACATTAAGAAGGATGATCAATTCTAGGAGGAGAGTAAGACGGATGTACAAGAAAAGAACAGTGGGGGCTCAGGGTTAAGAGCACTGGCTACTCTTGCAGAGAACTCAGCACCCACATGACAGCTAACAACCATTCTTAACTCCAGTTCCAGGGGATCCAATGTCTTCTTCTCACCTCCATGGGGAATACACAACACGGGTACACTTACATATATGTAGGCAACACACTCATACATATAAAAATATTAATAAAAGTAAAATTTTAAAAAAAGAACAGCACAGAGCAATCCTCTTACCCAGTGTTTTACTCTTCTTAAAAGCATGCACATTTTGGGGCTGGAGAGATGGCTCAGCGGTTAAGAACACTGACTGTTCTTGCAGAAGACCCAGGTTCGAATCCCAGCACCCACATGGCAGCTAACAACTGTCTGTAATTCCAGTTCCAGGGGATCCGACAGCCTCTTCTGTGCTCTGCAGGCATTGCACGACATGGGTGCACTTACTTACATGTAGGCGTAACACTTCATACACATAACACTTCATACACATAAAATAAAAATACTAATTTTTTTTAAAAATGCACATTTTAAGATGGACAGGAAGAGCTCAGAACTTTATAGTCTTAAGACAGATCATCTCAGAAATGTCTCAAATATATTTCCTACTCAATGTAAACACAAAGGTGAGCAAGTAAAACATTAAAAGTGATTAAAACAGCCAGGCATAGTGGTACACGCCTGTAGTCCCAGCACTTGGGAGGCAGAGGCAGGTGGATCTCTGTGAGTTCAAGGCCAACCTGGTCTACACAGTGAGTTCCAGGGCAGCTGGGGCTGCCCTGGGGCTACAGGCTCAAAAAGACCAAAACAAAAAAAAAAAAGTAATTAAAACATTTACAATGACAAGAAGGTCAAGGACTACAGATGAACTTGGGCAGGCAGAACCGAGAAACAAAGGTCAATAAATCACTGTTGTGTACAAAAACAAGTACCTCAAAATACGTTATAAATACAAACAGGATATCTGAATATAGCCTCTTGTCAAACAAGAGAATACAAGAAATAGGGGACTTTTCCCCTACAGAGGTAAAGGACAGTTCTATAAACAATGGGTGATGCTATAAAGGCAGAACATCTAACTAACACAAAACTAACAAACTCAGAGGAATATGTGTCACTACCTGATTGAATTCTGGTTCACAGAACACTCTATACAAGCATTCCGGAGACACCTGAAGCATTCTGTGATTAACTGCAGACTGGAAGCCAAATGTTCTACTTGGGAAGCATCCCTGCAGGCCAGCTCAACAGCATGAGTAGATTTCTTTAAGATGTCCAGGACTCTCTGAAAGATCGTTCTGGGTGCTGTTTCCCTGGAAAAAAATAAGCTTGTTATAAACCAAGAGGGAAAAAAGTCGTTAGTTTCCTGTCTCCAAAACTGCTTTCCCTATTCTAGGGTCAGGGGAACTAGACTTGTCTGTTCCAGCTCCTTCATTATGAAGCAGGCTGTATAGACTGTGCACCTACTCTGCATGTAACATTACTACTACCAGTCTTACTTACTCTCTCACTTCGCCTTTGAAATAACCTTGAGATCAACATTGTCCTCTCCATTTTACAGACAAGGTCAAGGGAGGCAGAAAGGTAGAGTCCCTTGCCCACATCACTCAGCCAATGAATGTCAAAGCCAGATCCAACTAAAGTACTCTGATTCCAGTACTTGCATCCCCACAATAACCCAAATCCAATTTAAGTGAACTGCTCTTGCTTATGGATCTGCACCTAATGCAAGTCCATTTCCTCATTCCAAACTCTCCTAAGGAAACAGCAAGCTGTTCTTAATGATAGGAGAAAAACTGCCATGCTGGACATTTAAGACTCTCATAGACCCTGGGCATGATGGCACACGCTTTTGAGACATCAAAAGCACTCCGAAGGCATAGGCAGACAGATCTCTGTGAGTCTGAGGCCAGCCTGGTCTACACTGAGTTCCAGGACAGCTGGAGCTACAGGGTCACAAAAAGACCAAAAAATAAAAATTTAAAAAATTTTAAAATTAGAAAGACTCTCAAGACAATCCTGACCATATGAATGTTTTCTGTTCTCACTGTGGACTCACAGGACCCTACATTTCAACCCTGAATGAAGTCAAACCACAGAAATTCCAAACTAGTGATGACACTGGGAAGCCTGAGTATCATGGAGACCCTCCACATACGTCCCCTTCCTTTCCGGGGCCAGGAGATATTTCCTTCTATGAGCTTCAGCAACACAGCTTCTTGTACATCAGTGATATGTTTCGGTCTTACAGAGACATGAAAAAGATCACAAAATCGTTATCATGTCACCCTCTGGCTAGGCCTTTGATGCGTCCGGAGTCAAGGTATGACTCATGTTTCACAACAGCATGAATCCCATTTTCTCGATCTGGCTTTTCGATTCTCACTTTTTTTTCCTTCAGGTAAGCAGGGGGTCAAACTCAGGGCCTAGCATATGCAAGGCAAGACCTCTGCCAATTGAACTGCAACCCTAGCCCTCTTCCCCTTTTATTTTTAAAATTGTATTTAACAGCATATCAAATATTTCAGTAAAGAAGCAGAGTACTGGGGCTGGAGAGATGGCTCAGCAGTTAAGAACACTGGTTCTTGCAGAAGACCCAGGTTCGAATCCAAGCACCCACATGGCAGGTAACAACTGTCTATAACTCCAGTCCCAGGGGATCCCACAGCCTCTTCTGTCCTCCACGGGCCATGCAGGCAATACATGCATACACATATAATAAAAATAATAAAATATTTTTTAAAAAACACAACAGAATACTGGCTATTCTTGCAAAAGACCCAGATTCAAAGTCCAGCACCCACATGGTGGCTAACAACTATCTGTAACTCCAGTTCCAAAGGATCCAATGCCCTCTTCTGTCCTCTGCAGGCACTGCATGATACAGGTGCACTAATACATATGCAGGTATAACACCCATACACATAAAAATAATTTTTTTTAAAAAGGGGCAGAGTACCGGTTAATCAATTAAAAACTGGGAAACATACAAAATTATCTGCCTGTGCCTTCCCAGTCTCCAAGTATAAGTCATAAAACTTTGACCCAGTGTCTCAGTGACCAAATAAAAGAAATTCAAGAGTACAGCACTAGAGGCTGGAGAGATGGCATGCAGAAGACCTGGGTTTGAACCCTAGCACCCACATGGCAGCTAGCAACTGTCCCTAACTTCAGTCCCAGGGGACCCAACAGCCTCTTCTGACCTCCATGGGCATTGCATGACACAGGTGCACTTATCTATATGCAGGCAATATATGCACACACATAAAATAAAAATAATAAATAAAATTTAAAAAAAAAGAATATAGCACTAAATTTGCCTCAGCAACTACATGAAACAATTGAATATGTGAGACATTTTTACTGACAACATTTCCATGAAAAAAGGATTTACTGATACTCCCACAATAGCAATAAGGATTACTCAACACACTGGAGAAAATACCCAAGAGTTTAAAAACACTGTGAAGAATGCCAAGAGTAATCACAATTTCTATGACAAACGCTTCTATCTGCTCCAATACATAGTTTCAATGACATTACTCGGTCATACAAGTAAAAATAGAGGGCTGAGGTAGCTCAGCAGTACAGCACTTGACTAGTATGCACAAGATCCTAGGATCAATCTTTAGTAGCACAAAAAATAACAAAGTAAAAAAAAAAATAAACGGCTCTGCAACTTGAATAATGTACAGTAATGCCTCTTTGTCCTCAGATGAGTGAGATACATGAATTCGCACACAGGCTGCAGTCATCCCAATTCTTTCTGCTGTCCTTTGAGCTCTGCCTGCCCAAAGGTGCCAGAGCCCCACTCTGAACAGTCTTCCCTAGAAAACAGCTTTCCTTGGTATCTTACCACCTGTTTTACTCAAAATTGGTATCTGGAACAACACAAGCTTTGGCAGCAAACTAAAAGAGACAGAAGCATTATTCTCAGGAAAATGGGTATCAGACCATAGAACAGATAAGTTCATGAGCTATCCTACAAATACTCTCATTCCCATGTTATATGTTCATTTTTCATGGGTGCATAAGGGCTTTATTGTACTTTTAACCACACCACCACAACAAAATGTAACCAAACTTAAAACCTAACAAAAGCCTCCAGCAGTCCAAGTAACTATTAATAGCGTCTACACAACAGTCCATATAGCGGCATTTATCAGGTTCTACACCCAGGGGTTCCTAAAATGACTGCCACTTCCAACCTTCTGTGCCTCTGCTCAGCCGTGCTCCTCTACCAGAATGCCCTTGCCACAAAATCCCCACCCAATCAATTCTTTGCCTGTGATAACTTGGTGTCCTGTTTTTAAGGCACATGCTCTACCACGGAGCTATACCCTCCAGCCTGTGACTCAACCTTTTCCAGAAATCTTTTGAAGACCACGCGCCTGATGAACTCCTCCACTGCTCTTACCTCTATGCCCCAAACTCTATACCCTCTCCCTAGCTGAAGTCTACGTCCTTGAAACTAGACACTAGCTAACTTTTTTCTATATCTCTAGAGCTCACAATTGGTACTAACAGAATTTTCTGGGTTCTAATTTACACAGGAAGGAGGTACGGCACAATCGAATTGGCCTGTGCCTGCACCTTTTTATCCAGGGAGGTCAGTGCATTTTGAGGCAATACCTTAAAGAACATTAAGCTTAATTCTTTTCTTTCCACTAAGAGATCGACCTATCCCAGATGCAGAAACTTGAAAATGATTTCCTTGTAAGGTGTGGATATAATGCAGATGACTTATGATTCCTATTTAGCATATTTAATTTCTCCTCCATTAAGAACTACAACAGATAAACCTGTAAGGAAGGTCTATAACCCAATTAATTGTACTGTAAATTTCTGAAGAGCAATGTGTTATAGATGTCTGTTTCCCTCTATAAAATGTGAGAACGGACCCATTCCCCCAGAGTTATATGGAAAATAGCTATGGATTTTGTTCAAACTATTTTTACACAGTTTAATACATGAACAACAGTTATTAAATAAAGACAAAGACGCTGCTACAAAGCAACAGTAACCGCTATGAAAGCATTGAACTCTTCCCATTTCTCTACCTTCTCTCCAGGCTTGAAAGAAAACTACATGGCATTACAGTTCTGCAAAGCCTATGTCCACAATCAAGAAAATGAAATGCATCTAAATATGTAAAGATTAACAGCAACGAAACAGCTGGTGAAGACCGTCAGTTATTCCCATATTACAAACATTATCAATAATAACTGCTGTCATTTCTGCTTTAATCAAAGTAGCAAAATATATTCACAAAGGCTTTAAAAAGCTTAGCTACTTCTTTTGCAGAAGGCAGAAAGTGCTTATGAGGACAATTAAATCCAACCGTTAGACATTCCTATTACAGAGGAATGCATACCCTGAAGACAACGCATAAATGAAAAGTTACATTACAGGACAAAAAATTCCTTTGAGATAAACAAAAGGTAGAATTTCATTTCCTTCGAGTTTCAACAGATCTGTTGGTTTTATCTTGGCAAGTTCTATTTGAGTAAAATTAAAGAAAACTACCTGTGATTATATGTCACAGGTTAGACAGGCCTAATATGCAGTATGTACATGCATTTTACAGTTAATTTATCAGGTGGACCTTTAAAGGAAAACTAACTGCTAGTCATTATAATGGCAACTGAGACTCTCACACTTGTTAAAAAAGATTTATTCTAATACCTTCCACTGCATTAAAAGCTGGCCTTATGTGGTTTAGAGTACTTTAACCAATGCTGCTGAGAAAAATTAAAATAGGCACAAATTCAGAGATTTTTTTAAAAAACTAATGATAGTTGCATAAAACAAAATATTGCTCACTGATTTGACCTGGTTGATCAAAAACAGATATAATCAACATTTTACCATCTGCCACAAATAGCATAGGGCAAAAATCTGAAATCCATCTTCACAGAACTCAAGCCTCTCCTTTGTACACTGTCCCTCCTGTCACATTCAGGCTCAGGCTGTCCCTCACAGCCTAACCAATCCATTTGCTGGGTCACAAAAATTTTTGTGTAAAGAGCATCACAGCAAATCCTTAAATTTAAAAACCATCCTCCAGTCATAAACCATAATAAAACAGATGGTGGGTCAGATCTGGCTATATAGCCTGGAAACACCTGTCTTAATAGATTCCTAACATACTACAGTCCTCCCCATTCCCACAAAAATCACATTTTCCCTTTTCTTCACCACAATCATAGTCTCTCATCAGAGCACATGAAGCGCGAGTGTATCGCTCTAAATCAAAGAGAGCAAAAGTGGCAAGGAGATGGAGAAAGCAAACTCTGGACTAGACAGAAGAAAC